CAATTCTGACGTTTCTCGAATGTGAACTTTGAATCACCAATTTTTTCACAATTTGGGACTTGGGGTTGTCAAAATTGAATAAAAGTTTGTATTACACTCGCGGTTAAAATGAATGTGTAACTCGTGGTCTTAAGGCGCTCGCGGCATACGCCGCTCTCGCCTTAAACTGGCCGCTCATTAAACATTCACTTTAACCGCTTGTATAATAAATAACTATTATGATGTAAATACAATTGAGTATATCGATAATTCGCTACTGAAAATTTATTGAAATATAATTTGTGTTAAAAAAAGATTTTTGTGGTTTTATGGTTTATTAACATAATTTACTTATTTGAAATTAAATATTTTTAATACATAGCACAAGTTCTTGATATTCTTTATTTTTATTCCAAGTAATAATTGTGTTTCCTTTAGTTTTAATCAAGAAAATTTTTCGGTTATTATCTAACATACTTTTGTACATTAAGAAACTCCATTCCACGTCACAGGACGTTACAGGACAATATTTAAATAAATAAAGAAGTCGTTTTATGTGTTTTAAAATTCACTCTGATTTCCGGACTTTAGACTTTTTGGTGTTTCACTTCGGCACAAGAACTAGTCGTATCTCAAAGAAAACAAACAGTGGAATATACCGTATTGTACCTATATTTCATAGTAAAAATGTCTAAATTTTTTTATGAAGAGACAGACTGTTCTAGGAAACTTTACTAAATCTTTTCATTTACGAGCTATTGAAAGTCCGCCGGTCTCACTGATACTTCTTACTTGGCTCCTACGAATGAAGCGAAAAATGCACAGATTGAAAATATAGTAAATGGGGTAGTATGTATGCGTGATATGTCGTTAGACATTAGGTATTTTGCAAATAAAATTTATTTCATTGAAAACAGAAACAATAAAAAACATATCTGTACAAGTTTGGAATCGATATGGCCAGTTGTTTAGAATATGCAAATATGCTTTTGTTCGTATTTACAATTATTACGAAACAGGTTATCAAATAATCTATTTTCACATGGCGAGACTTTCAAGCGGCCGAAGAATTAAAAACCATAAATTTTCATTGAAGAAACAAACTCTTCCAAGAAAATTACCAAATCTTTTAGTTTACGCACTATTGGACGAGCACTCCTTAAAACGGTCAGTATACCTAATCGCATTATTCCATTGATACCTACCTACCGAAAACGTTGCCAGATGGGCCTAACACAAATTTGCGGATATTTCTCGTCAACCAGATATTATTTCATTTAGAAGTTTCTGGTAAATAAATGGGATTATTGTAATGAACATATAAAACAAATAAATTGTGATTATTATTTGTTGTTTTAACCCATTAGACGCTTATAGGCTTATAAGCATACTTTTCTTGAAAAATCGGTAATAAATTCAGTGAAACATCTTTGTGCCTTAATTCCTATTGGTAAACTGGGATTTTGAATAGAGGTCGCAGGAAAATTTTGTATGGTTTTATGGTTTATTTACATAATTTTCTTATTTACAATGAATGTTTTTGATATATAATACAAGTTCTTGATATTATTTATTTTAATTACATTTAATAAACCATAAAACCACAAAAATCTTTTTTTAACACAAATTATATTTCAATAAATTTTCAGTAGCGAATTATTATCGATACACTTAATTGTATTTACATCATAAAATTTATTTATTTTACTTCATACTATGTCAAGTTTGACGTTTTACTGGATCGAACTATTCCGGTAAAATAAAAAAAACGGACAAGTCCGATAAAATTGAGCCAAAAACACGGAGGTAGAAGAGACACTCTTCTACCTCCGTGGCCAAAAAGGACAAGTCTTCCATTTCCGGAAGCGGCCACTGACCCTTTTGGGTCTCTTTTGCTTTACCTGTTATTGTAAATACAAATGTAAATTTAGTACTTCTGTAACCGTCTTGTATTAAACATCGAAACCGAACGCTGTCTATTATCTCGCACGCAAGAAAACAAAGGTCCTTGGAGCAATATCAAAGTACAATTCGGTATCACATTGTCGTATCAACCAGATTACAAAAAATACTGGTAGGACGAGCCGAGTTGCACAAACATTGGTCCTTCGAGACGGATTGCACAAAACATTCGTCCATCGAGTCGGATTATACAAAACAATAAGTCCTGTAAAGTGTTATAAGTACTATGTGTTTAAACATATGATGCTGATTTGCACGAATAAACAAATTAAAACATTTACCAAAGAGCGGTTGCTAACGATGTCAGAAAAAGTGACTCGATTTGGATTTTTTCTCAAAATAATAATAATATTATCCAATAAAAAAGTATGTTGACAGTATGAAATAAAATACATAACAACATACGTCCGGTAACTCTTTTCGCAGTACTCGTTTCGAAATTAAAGACTCGGCTACCTACTCGTCATGAAACATATTACTCGTACTGTAAAATTTGAGCTACCGGACCGGACCGTATTTAGAATAACTTTAATTACCATTTATGTTTTCATCAACACTAACAAATATTTAAAATAACAAGTAATAATTTGTTTGTATTGTTTATTCATTATAATAATTCCATTTATTCACCAGAAACTTTTAAACGAAATAAAATCTAATCGACTAGAAATAACGGCAAAGTTGTGCTAGGCTCATCTGGCAACGTTGCAAATTATATAAATGGTTACTATGAGATTTTTACACATTGTTTTCGTCGCCCTCTGTCGAGTGGTAGCTTTATTAAATGTATTGTTGCTGCGATTTGGGTTATCTACGCGCGCGATTGGTGTCCAAGCTTTTCGCCGGCGTTTGACGGCCGACTGTTGGTGCGCCATCTCTTGTTCGCCGGCCGTTGGCCTGTTCGCTCCAAACAATAGCATGGGTCTATCTATATGTATTTAATCAATGTACTTGCTAAGATAAGAGTGATTTTGGAAAATGAGGTACTTTCCAAGAAAAGAGAGGGTGATTTTGGTAACGACTGAACAATATTAAGATTAATCACTAAAATGAAGAGGGGGTGGATGGACAGAGCTACGGCTTGCTTATGAAAAACTGTAAACAAAAGTTAAACTTAGCCCCACCCACCCACCCGTTTTCTCTTTTTTTTTCTTCTGAAATAAAAAATAAATCTTGTAGCAAATAGTATAATAAAAAAAATACGATTAGCACTTTTTTCATTTTTTTAGCAACCTACGTTTTATTAGTTCCCATTGCCAGTCTACAAAAGAGCATATAATTAACCCCGCCCACTCACCCCGCCCTCATTTTAGTGATTCATTTAATCTAGCCATAGTGACAGGTGGATCTCATACTCAACAGAAATAAAATCGTTAGAATGAGAAAAACGCAGATGGGCGGGGCTAGTACCTGCTAAGGTAAGAGTGATCTTGGCAGATGACATATCTTCTAAGAAAAGAGAGGGTGGGTGGGCGGGGCTACTTCTTGGCAAGATAAGAGTGATCTTGGCAAATGAGGTACCCTCTAAGAAAAGATAGGGTGGGTGGGCGGGGCTAGTATTCGTTAAGATAAGACTGATTTTGGTAAATAACTGAACAATGTTAAGAGTAATCACTGGAATGAAGAGGGGGTGGATGGACGGAGCTATTGCTTGCTTATGAAAAACTCTGTAAACAAAAGTTAAACTTAGCCCCACCCACCCACCCGTCTTCTCTTTTTTTGTCTTTTGAAATTAAAAATAAATCTTGTAGCAATTCGTATAACAAAAAAAAATACGATTCACGTTTTTTTTCTTTTTTTAACAGCCTACGTTCTATTAGTTCCTATTGCCACTCGACAAAAAGCATATAATTAGCCCCGCCCACCCACCCCGCCTTCATTTCAGTGATTTATTTGATCTAGCGATAATGACAGGTGAATCTCATACTCAACAGAAATAAAATTGTTAGAATGAGAAAAACACAGGTGGCTGGGGGAAGATAAGAATGGTTTTGGCAAATGAGATAGTTTCTAAGGTAAGAGAGGGTGGGTGGGCGGGGCTAGTATTCGTTAAGATAAGACTGATTTTGGTAAATAACTGAACAATGTTAAGAGTAATCACTGAAATGAAGAGGGTGTGGATTAAAAACTCTGTAAACAAAAGTTAAACTTAGCCCCACCCACCCACCCGTTTTCTTTTTTTTTGTTTTCTGAAATAAAAAATAAATCTTGTAGCAAATAGTAAAACAAAAACAAAAAAATACGATTAGCGCTTTTTTTTAGCAGCCTACGTTCTATTAGTTCCCATTGCCACTCTACAAAGGAACATATAATTAACCCTACCCACCCACCCCGCCTTCATTTCAGTGATTCATTGGATCTAGCCATAATGAGGAACTCATACTCAACAGAAATAAAATCGTTACAATGAGAAAAACACAGGTGGACGGAGCTAGTACTTATTAAGATAAGACAGACTGTGGCAAATGACATACATTCCAAGAAAAGAAAGGGCGGGTGGGCGGGGCTAGTATTTGTTAAGATAAGACTGATTTTGGTAAATGGCATACCCTGTAAGAAAATAAAGGGTGGGTGGGCGGGGCTAAAACTTGCTATGATAAGACTGAACAATATTAAGAGTAATCACTGAAATGAACAGGGGGTGCGTGGGCGAGGCAACAGCTTGAAAATATAAATGCAATGATAAATTACAATTTTGAGCTGACGTCATCAATTTTTTGGAGGGGATAAGTAAATATATTTTTTATAAAAATTTATCGTGACTATCATAACCTTAAAACATCTACAAGATTTGCAGAATCAAAATTAAATTGCAAAATGTTGTTTTATAATTTTGACTTTTTTTCCCAAAAATCTGGACGTTTTGGATAAAAACTCAATACGGAATCATAAACTACATCTGTAGGACTATGTTATTTCATACAATTTAAAACCCATTTACTATGTACAATTTTGAAGTGACGTCATCACCTTAGTGGAAGGGATGATCAGACAAATTTTGGTTAGCGTTTTATCATATTCATGATAAAAGGGGTTAAAATGTTATCTAGCCGTCTTACTTCGCTATGAATTTGCCTCGTTGCGAGTGCTGCTCGAATTTCGTTTTGACCGCCGACTTCGATATACATTCTTCGAATTTTCGTTCAAAGTCCTGAAATTCGAAGTATCTATTTTGGAAACCCTCTGTCAGAGGCGTCGAAGCCGTGTGCCCTTGCTCCGCTAGTCTAGCTTGGAGGACTTCCTTAGCAGAAATGAAGAAAATCCGTTCTTCGGCTTCTTTAGGCGTGCAGACTTTCAACTCCTTTACTAGGAAGTCGACGGCTCGTTCTTGGTGCTGCCTCCGAACCTAAATTGAGACCGGTTTTGTCAAAAAAGTACCACTTTACTAGGTGTCCCGGATGTTTGTTTATTAGTCCAATAACGTGTTTAAATTTTGAATATAACGAGTTTCCCGCGCTACGAACACTGGATTTTGATTGGTCGAGTTTGTAACGTACTGTAACGTAAAAAACAAAATCCGAAACACCTGGTACATGTTAACGAGAAGAGAGACAACTAATATTGACTCACCTCTTCCTGCTCATTGCAAAGCTTAATAGTAAAAAGACTCAATTAAAAAATACACACTTACACAAAAATCGACAACAGAATAAACAACCGGAAAAGCATCAAACTCATTCAAAAACAGTGATCGAGTGTTGAAAAATCGACGCTTGTTGTTTACGACTATAATATCGCAAACAACACGTCATTTGATAACCAAATACTAAGCAATGCAATGCAAACAAAACCCGAGGTGTTAATCAAACCCATTAACACTAAAGACTCACTTGATCTAGAAATTCGGGTTCGGTGGCTGACGCGTCCCAGCGATTGTTCAAAATAAAAATATTGGGCTTGGAAAGACGCGTGGAAACTTTATGGAAAAAATTTTTCTCCTGGAAGACAGACAACCAATGACAATGAAATCACGAAATTTTATACAAATTACCGTAACCATAAGAGTTGACTCGGCATTAGCTACTAAAACAAAAACGTCGGCATCCAGGCAATGTTTGTCGATCCACTCGTCCAAGTTCGGGGTGACGTCCACTCCGGGTGAATCCACGAACACGACGTCGTCTCGTAACAACAAGCAGCGGTTTCGGGGCCAATAAACACGCACCATTTGAGACTCGCTTAATTTTTCTTTGCACAGCGCATGCGCTAGCTGACCTACGGATTCCACGGCGCAATGTTCGGTGGACCCCTCTAGAACCAAATAGGGTTCGTCGGAGGGCGACCCTTCCACCTACCAACAACAATTAGTTTTAAATTATTTTACAATTATACTCATACTTGGAGAAAACAATTTGTTGTGTGTCCAATCCCACTGGGAAGGATTTTATCCCGAAGCATCGCATTTATAACTGAGCTTTTCCCGTTGGAAGTGCGCCCGAAAAACGCCACCTTCATATGGTCTCTACTAAGAACATCCCGAATCCCGTGAACCTTCCCCACGAATTCGGCCGACTTCTTCACGTTTTCCTTCTCAACTATGTCTTGGAGCTTCTCGATCTCTGGAAACTAATTATTATGGGGGGAACGCGGTTCGAGTACACTTTACCGTGCATGTATTCGACGGCATCTTTGACATAATCCTCGATTTCGCCAAAGATGTCGTTGATTTTTTTCTTCGCTTTGACGAAGATCTGCAACGGAGAGTTATCAGGTGGTTGGCGGGACGTCCGGGGGTCGACCATGCTCGACGGGATGGACTTGTTGTGGGGCCCATCGCCCGACATCAAGGATATTGTGCGGTTTATATAAGCAGCCATCAAATAAGGTGCTACAGGTGGCAATCAGTGAACATCTACCATGCGGCTAGCAGCAACTGAAAAAAAATTAAAATTATATAAATCAATATTAGCCACAAATGACGTTTTATTTGTGCCTAATTATAGTGTGGTGGCGGATGACTCCGCTATAAAAAAGCCACATGCGACACAAGGGTGAACACTCAATAACCTGTTCGTTTTTAGGCATCGTTGACTCGGGGTTGGGGGCTCTAACCTCAAAATCTAACCCCAAAAAAAAAAAACACCGTGTAGATATAAATCGACACGAATCGCCACACTTTGACTAAAATACATACCCGGAGTGCATTTATTCGTTGTAAAGTCTATTTATATCCGAAAAATGTATAAATTTGTATAAATATATCAACAGACGAGTCCAAGGTTTTTCGGTAAATACAACTGTCAAAGCAGTCAGTTGTTTCGTATCTAAAGAAAATATTAACGAGATTCATACCAATTACGTCTGGAGCACGTCGCAACTTACATTTTTTTATTATCGATTACGTAATAATTATTTTTGTGAAGAAGTTAAAGCACGAGTTTTCTTCTACCATTTGACATTTCCACACACACTTTTTTTTTGTTGGGTTGCTACCTCCGGCTTGTCAATAGTGTCATACGACATACGGTATCACAGGACGCGATCTCTTTTTTTGAAACGTTATGAAAATTATGCGGATGCAAATTAAACGAAACCACTCACACTGGAAACAATTATGTCCATAATAAAGCGTTTTTTAAGGTGGATTAAAAAAGTGGATAGTTTTGTCGGGCGACTATGACGTGCGCGCGTCCGCTCATTACCCCCCAATTTGGGTTAGAAAGGGAAAGTTTTTAAATCCTTTTAAAAACAATAAAAGGATTTAAAAACATGGTCAGGTATTATGTAAGGTAAGTGGCATTGTTCTTCATTTATTTATGACAGACGCGTTCAAACAGTTTTATGTTTTCCCGGAAAATGATGCACGCCACATAAATAAATAAACTGATAAAACATGATTCATTTAATCAGGCTTTTTCAGTTTTGTGGTACTTGAAGCATTGTGATATCCATCATGTTCGCTTCGAACGAGTTCAAGATTCCGTCGAATTGGGTGTACCGGGGTGAAGGCAACTGCAACGTCGTGATTTCGTTGCCATCTGAAAGGAAGATACTACGGATTAGGAAAATTAAGAAGACGACGTCGCTTTTCGGGTGGATACTTAACTGGATTACGGACATCCTGTACTGGTATTGCGGGAGTGGACTGGATGATGAATTAAGAGATCTCACTTTTTATAAAAAAATTATTAGAGCGCTGATTGGAAGCAACTTTGTGTGTGACGCTGAGCAGGTGTTTTTGTCAAGGAAGCAGGTGAAGATTTTAGAGGAGGAACTGGCACATCAGAGACCTAGTAAATGTTGGTGGTTGTTAAATTGTGGGGGGTTCAAGCTAATTTTTTTTAGATTATCGAAAGACTAAAAGTCTGCAGTACGGACGGGCCGCTTTATTTGATGACTACGCCTTCTTACCTGACGAGTTTTATCCTTTTTTATTGTCAAACAATACATATTCTGTGGAAATTAAACCAAAGCAAGGTTGGGTACCTTTTAGTGAAAGACACTTCCCTAAGTGCGCTTTTTGTATGAACCAGTATGTAAAGGTGACTTTTGTTGCTTTCACAGTACCCCAGAGTTACTTTTGTTGATTTTTAGCACAACAAGGGACAAATACAGTCGTTGTCTTCGTACTGCCCCAGTGATCTTTTCTCAGGGTAAATTTTACCCACTGGTAGTTATTACGTGTCTTATTAACGTGAAGGTTTGTAGAGAGCCGACTAAAATGATCCGCGCTGTTCAAGCTCTCGTGACCAACCCACAAAACAACTTAAAAATATTTAAAAATGGCCAACTTCAGTACTCTGAGGACTGTGAAGTTGGTTTATTTGCGAGTTTTTTGACTGATATTTTTCGAAATAACGTTGAAACGTTTGAAAAGTGAGACGCAGTTGTCAATTTTATTTGTTATTAACAATTATATTAATTGTTTTGTTGTAGTTTGTTGCTAGAATTTTGCCATTTCGTCAGAACTTGTCTCCTGACAAATTTTGAAAGCATTGAGAGAACGAATAGGTGCAACATGAAGTTGTTTTGTGAGTGGAACAACATAATCCAAGAGAGTTCAGCTCAAACTAAGCTTCCAAAGGGTTGCGTCTTGGAACGAATTTTGTCTGTACAAATGTTAGATGTTGAAGGTAATCAGTATTATTATAAACTACTAGGAAATAAAAAACTAGGAGAGTATGACTATGTGAGAGAACTGTTAAAGGAAGTATCCAAAAGGCCAGGGACTTGTTTAAAGTGTATTATAATGATGTTGGGGAATGTGGATGAAAGACAAATGAAAGAAAATAACTTGGTACTTGTTCCTTATTTAATGTCTGCTATTGCAAAAGATTGCTCTCTCATGATAACTTTTAAAAGAATTATGGAAACCACAAGGTATTAGTACGTGGTGTAACAATCCGTCCAATGATAGTTTTTTTCTAGTGACAACTTTGGTATGAAAAATATTGTTAGCACGAAATATGGAGATTTTATTGTTAATGTTGGGGTTTTTGATTTATACCCGAAACCGGTGTCTACCATTTTGAAGCATAAAAAGAAGATTAAGAGAATGCTGGACGCAACAGCCAAATGTGAACAGAAAACCGTTGTTACTTAAATTTTACAGTTGATCTATGTCGGTTTTACTCATTTTAACTGTTTTGTGTAACAGAGTAATATATTTTTGATACCGATTTTATCTCGTTTGATTGTTTCCTTCCAAGATTTTATCTCGTTTAAATTGAGGTGTGATTTTTTGTGAGAGAGAAAAGACGTTTGTCCTTTTCTATTTAAGCGCTTGCGGAAGCATGAGCCGAAATAGCTCAGTTGGGAGAGCGTTAGACTGAAGATCTAAAGGTCCCCGGTTCAATCCCGGGTTTCGGCATTACTTTTTTTTTTTGTATTGTATAATTAAAATATCGATTTTTTTTCATATTGCGTCATAAAAAAAAGTAAATGTTTTATGCATATAAGTCATTGTAAAAGTAAAATTGTTTTTAAAAAAAAAAGTCTGCCGAAACCCGGGATTGAACCGGGGACCTTTAGATCTTCAGTCTAACGCTCTCCCAACTGAGCTATTTCGGCTGATAACTCGTATCATTCTAATAACCAAGCAGACAGGTGTCGTAGTTTCTAAAAACAATAGACGCCCGTTTCCGTCTGTTTGTCTGTCTGTCTGTATACCGTCTGTCAGGATTTTTATTGAATACATAACCTTCGAAACTACCGAAAAATTAAATTTTGTATGTGTATATGTCTTTAGTTTTCTTTGTATAACACGATTACTTTAGAACATATTTCACGCGGTAATTTCTCGTAGAAAAATCAGGATTTTGCAATTAAGCCCCGCCCCTCGGCTTACGACGTATAAAAAAAGTCATCAGAATTGAGACAGGGCGGGTGGGCGGGGCTTATATTTTGCCTTTATTTTTCTTAATGTACATGGCCATTTTTTCACAACAAGAAACTTAAAACATGGTTGAAATAGTACAGTTTTGCAAGGAAATTTTAATATGGATTTTGCAATTATATTTTGTGAAAAGATGGCTGCCTATATTAAGAAAAATAAAGGCAAAATATAAGCCCCGCCCACCCGCCCTATCTCAATTCTGATGATTTTTTTTTATTCACAGTGAACTAAGGGGGCGGAGATTAACTGCAAAATACTTATTTCTTTACAAGAAATTAAAATATGCTTTTGAGTATCGTGTTGTTCAAAAAATACTATGGGTATTAAGAAAAAAAGTCAAAATATGTACCCCGCCCACCCACCCCATCTCAATTGTAACGATTTTTTTATTCTTAGAAACTTAAAACGCGTTTATAATGGTAAATTTTTGTAGAGAAATAAGGATTTTGCAGTTAAGCTCCGCCCTCTTTGTCCACGACTAATAAAAATAATCACCACAATTGAAGTAGGGCGGGTGGGTGGGGCATATATTTTGCTTCTATTTTTCTTAATACACATAGCCATCTTTGCACAACAAGAAACTTAAAACATGGTTAAAATGGTTTTGCAAGGAAATATGCATTTCCCAATTATATTTTGTGAAAAGATGGCTGCCTATATTAAGAAAAATAAAGGCAAAATATAAGCCCCGCCCACCCTCCCTATCTCAATTCTGATCATTTTTTTTATTCACAGTGAACTAAGTGGGCGGAGATTAACTGCAAAATACTTATTTCTTTACCAGAAATTAAAAATATGCTTTTGAGTATCGTGTTGTTCAAAAAATACTTACAATTTTTGTAGGGAAATATGGATTTTGGAATTTGGCTCCGCCTCCAGGTTTGTCAACGAATGAAAATTTGATTAGTAGATTAGTACATATTTAGATCAGAGCAGGTTTGGGTGGGGCTTAATCTTTGGTTTTAATTTTTTCTTAATATACATGGTATTCTTTGAGCACGATACTCAAAAGAATGTTTTTAATTTCTCGTAGAGAAATAAGGATTTTGCAGTTAAGCTCCGCCCTCTTTGCCCATAACGAATAAAAAAATCACCACAATTGAGACAGGGCGGGTGGGCGGGGTATATATTTTGCCTCTATTTTTCTTAATATACATAGCTATCTTTGCTCAACAAGAAACTTAAAACATGGTTAAAATGGTTTTGCAAGGAAATATGGATTTTGCAATTATGGGGCGGAGCCTAATTGCAAAATCAATATTTCCTTATACAAATTTTCCATTTTAAACATATTTTAAGTTTCATGTTGTGAAAAGAAGTCTACACATATTAAAACAAACGGCAAAATATAAGCCCGCCCACCCACCCTATCTCTATTGTAATGATTTTTTTTTATTCTTAGAAACAAAACACGTTCAAAATGGTAAGTTTTTGTAGGGAAATATGAATTTTGCAGTTGAGCTCCGCCCTCTTTGTCCACAACGAATAAAAAAAATCACCACAATTGAGATAGGGTGGGTGGGTGGGGCTTATATTTTGCCTTTATTTTTCTTAATATACATAGCCATCTTTTTGCAACAAGAAACTTAAAACATGGTTGAAATAGTACAGTTTTGCAAGGAAATATGGATTTTGCAATTATATTTTGTAAAAACATGGCTGCCTATATTAAGAAAAATAAAGACAAAAAATAAGCCCCGCCCACCCGCCCTATCTCTATTCTGATGATTTTTTTATTCACAGTTAACCAAGAGAGAGATTAACTGCAAAATACTTATTTCTTTACAAGAAATTAAAAATATGCTTTTGAGTATCGTGTTGTTTAAAAAATACTTACAATTTTTGTAGGGAAATATGGATTTTGGGATTTGACTCCGCCTCTAGGTTTGTCAACGAATGAAAACTTGATTAGTAGATTAGTACATATTTAGATCAGGGCAGGTTTGGGTGGGGCTTAATCTTTAGCTTTAATTTTTTCTTAATATACATGGTATTCTTTGAACACGATACTCAAAAGCATGTTTTTAATTTCTCGTAGAGAAATAACGATTTTGCAGTTAAGCTCCGCCCTCTTTGTCCACCACGAACAAAAAAAATCACCACAATTGAGATAGGGCGGGTGGGCGGGGCATATATTTTGCCTCTATTTTTCCTAATATACATAGCTATCTTTGCACAACAAAAAACTTAAAACATAGTTGAAATGGTACAGTATTGCAAGGAAATATGGATTTTGCAATTATATTTTGTGAAAAGATGGCTGCGTATATTAAGAAAAATAAAGGCAAAATATAAGCCCCGCCCACTCGCCCTATCTCTATTCTGATGATTTTTTTATTCATAGTTAACCAAGAGGGCGAAGATTAACTGCAAACTACTTATTTCTTTACAAGAAATTAAAAATATTTTTTGCGTATCGTGTTGTTCAAAAAATCCTATGGGCATTAAGAAAAAATGGGCAAAATATATACCCCGCCCACCCACCCTATCTCAATTGTAATGATTTTTTTATTCTTAGAAACTTATACCGCGTTTATTAAGATGGTCAAATTTTGTAGGGAAATATGGATTTTGGAACTTGGCTCCGCCCCTAGGTCTGTCAACGAATGAAAACTTGATTAGTAGATTAGTACATATTTAGATCAGGACAGGTTTGGGTGGGGCTTAATCTTTGGCTTTAATTTTTTCTTAATATACGTAGTATTCTTTGAACAACACGATATTTAAAAACATGTTTTTATTTCTTGTAGAGAAATAAGGATTTTGCAGTTAAGCTCCGCCCTCTTGGCTCATGACAAATAAAAGATCGTCACAATTGGGATAGGGTGGGTGGGCGGGGCATATATTTTGCTTCTATTTTTCTTAATATACATAGCCAACTTTTCACAACAAGAAACATAAAACATGGTTAAAATGGTTTGTTTTTGCAAGGAAATATGGATTTCCCAATTATGGGGCGGAGCCTAATTTGCAAAAACGATATTTCCCTATACAAATTTTTCATTTTAAACATGAATGTTTTAAGTTTCATGTTATGAAAAGAAGTCTACACATATTAAAACAAAAAGTCAAAATATAAACCCCGCCCACCCACCCTATCGCAATTGTGATGATTTTTTTTATTCGCCGTTAACCAAGGGGACGAAGCTAAACTGCAAAATGCTTATTTCTTTACAAAAAATTAAAACATGTTTTTGAGTATCGTGTTGTTAAAAGAATAAAATGTATATTAAGAAAAAGAGGCGAAATATAAACCCCGCCCACCCACCCTATCTCAATTGTAATGATTTTTTTATTCGTAGAAACTTAAAACACGTTCAAAACGGTAAGTTTTTGTAGGGAAATATGAATTTTGCAGTTGAGCTCCGCCCTCTTTGTCCACAACGAATAAAAAAAATCACCACAATTGAGATAGGGTGGGTGGGATAGGCTTATATTTTGCCTTTATTTTTCTTAATATGCATAGCCATCTTTTCACAACAAAAAACTTAAAACATGGTTAAAATGGTTTTCTTAGTGTACATAGTACTCTTTGAATAACACGATACTCAAAAACATGTTTTTAATTTCTCGTAGAGAAATAAGGATTTTGCAGTTAAGCTCCGCCCTCTTTACCCACGACGAATGAAAAAATAATCACAATTGAGATAGGGTGGGTGGGCGGGGCTCTAAAAGCAACAGTGAGAACAGCGACTGCAACGGGAATTTCCACGTCAACAGCAACTTTATAAATCCCACTTAAAACAATAATAACATGATTTTACAATTTTGCCGATTTAATTTATCTTTATCAAATATAATTTTTGGTGATTCTGAAATGAGTAGAAAGTAAAATGGTACGTTTCACCTAACTTTTTTTTCAAATATGTATTAAGCTTTTTTTACCAGTTTTTTCATCAATTTTAAGCTACTTTATCATGTTTTAAGCAAACAGGCCAATTTTGACATCGAAGTTTGTTGCTTTTTTATAAAATAAAAAAAGTCAATTTTTGTGGTGAATTTTTTTTAATGCATTTTTTTAACATTTCACCCCACTTTGACCTTGATTTTTATAAAAAAAAACACTTTAACGTCAAAACTGGTAGGTTAAAAGTGATAAATCATCTTATAATAAATTAAAAAACAAAATGTGGGGGAAACGTACCATTTTACCTAGTACTAATTAATTTGTCCCTTTTTTTTTATGTGATTCATGAATCCGTGTCGAGTTTTCACCCTAGACATCCAGATTTTTGGAGAAAAAATCGAAATTGTGTAACATTATACGATTTCACTTTGAAATTCCAAAACTAAATGCTTTAAAAAAAAATTGCAAATACCGAGTGTTGTGAAATCGTGCAAATATTTTAAGATTATGAGTGTTTTTGGGAAAAAAACTGTGTATGAATTAAGACGTAGGTGTTGCAGGGTGTTAATTACGCCTTATTTGATTTTATTTTATCTATTAATTATGAACACATTTCGCACAATTATATTTCAATATAAATTACAACTGTAGTGGAATACAATTACAGCTTCCCCTCAAACAAGCTCCCACTGTCTGCTGATCTTCTTGGCAATACATCTCACAAAAAACTGCGTAAGGGCAGACCGTATTTCCCGTGGTCAGACAGTTTTGGTCAGCGCAGGAATCTGAAAGTACACCCACATTAACACTTACCACTTCATTCTCGTTACTTACGATCAGCCATGATTTTCAAAATGCTCGATGTATCGATGTTCAGTGGAGGAAGTTGGTCGAAAATATCTCGGAAAACTTGGGTGTCATACTGGGACGAAGAAGCCACAAGCACCAAAACCACGAACAAAGTAACTGCTTTCATTTTTATTTTATTATTCTGTGTGCTTCGTCTACAGTTGAACAGAATGTGAAAAATCTGATAAAGTTCAACAATCTGTGCTCGAAACAATCGATAGATTTAATATCTGAAGGGATAAAGGTTAAGATACGGACTGTTTTTGGTAGCTTATCTCGCGCAGGTGTTGCGATAAAAATACTGATTAAAAAAATACCAATTACGAATAAATAAATAAATATTTTACGAAAAGTGTGGGTCGGTTTTAGTTTAGACGGGCAGATGGCGGCTTTTTTTTAAGTTGTTACACTTGCAACACCTCTGGGCGATAAGGTTCGTTGTTCCTCGCTTGCAGAGAGGTTGACAGCTCACTAGTTTCGGACAGGATGTGAATTTAATACCTGGAAGGAACACTACGTAATTCAAGAATTGTAATAATTTTATAATTACCAGGTGTGCTGCCATCCTTTAGAACAAAAGCGTTGCAGAGGGTGTAGGAAATCACGAATAACACGTATAAGCGTACTTTTCGTCTTCATTGTGTGTTTTCCACTAATAATATAATTTCACTAGTCAGTTGTTAAATAGGTATGTGGGCTGAAAAAATCAGCAGTGGCTCCCCTTGACAGGGGCCACAAAAAACACGATTAAACAATAAAATGGATTTTTTTTAGTTTAGTTTGTTGGGAATTACCGTAATGAATATTTTGTCGTAGCCATGAGTCACCGCGAAACGTGAGATTATAGCTCCAAAGAAATATCTTCGATTATTGTCATTGAAACCGTAATTACCAACCAGAACGAATAAATAACTGTTATGTTTAATAGTATTTAGATGAGTCCCACTATTTCAAGGAAATTTCCTGTTACGAAGTTTAAAAATTAATCATATTTACAATATCTCTGTTCCGAAAACTTGAGTTCATTCACTGCATGTGAATATCCACAATTTGAACCGGATTTTCGGTAAAATTTTCGATATCGCTCGGAGGAAAAATATACGTCGGATTCAACTGGTTAAAATTCACGTAAACCTTCCTCTTCTTCACATCCAGCGCGTCCACCAACTCCCGAAACGTCGGTCTATCTTCGGGATTCCGCGCCCAGCACAACCCCATCAACTCATACAACTCGTTGGTACAAATCTCGGGTCGCTCCAGCCGCCGCCCCATTTGTAAAAACTGCTGGAGGAAGGAATCTGGGACGCTTTCGTAAGGAAAGGCCCCCAGAGTCCCGATTTCCCAGAGCACCACCCCGAACGACCACACGTCACTCTTACTGTCATACTTTTGCTCCACGATGGCCTCGATGGCCATCCAGCGTAATGGTAGCTTCTTGGTTTTGTGGTTGATGTAGGGGCCGCTACGAGACAGACCGAAGTCGGAGATCTTGAGGATTTTGTGTTCGTTGATGAGGATGTTTCGAGCGGCGAGATCCCGATGGGTGACGCCGATTTTTTCCAGATGGGACATGCCCTTGGCGATTTGGAGGGCGAACTTTTGGAGCTCGGCGTGGTCGAGGACTTTGTCGAGGACGTTGGCGTAGTGGGCGAGAAGGGGGGTATCGGGGACGTCGGGACTAGGACATACACCTGAAAAACACTGGAGTAATTACCCGTTGAACTGAAAAATGTTATAGTTACTTTCAGAAACTGAAGGTAGTCGGCTGGTTTTTGTGGAATTTGAAGAGGTGGGTGACGACGGCTCTAAGTGCGACCCACTATTGCTGTGTAAATTATTAGTAACAGTGTGCGACACTGGAAAGTACTTACTCCGAAAAGAAAATTGGTCTACTCATGGAAATATTTTTTCTCTTGAGCCACTGTGCCCGTAGTTCTAACAAATAATTTTTTAAGTCGCCACAAGGGACAAACTCCATGATCATCATATACGGGGTGTCCACGGTACAACAACCCAGGAGAGCCACTACGTTCGGGTGTTGACCAATTTTTTTAAAAATCTCGATTTCGGCTATAAAATCGTTGATAGCTTCTTGAGTTGTGTTTTCTAGAAGTCATAATGTTATCATTCGTATTTACACACGTGTATGGTTTAAGGGGGAACGCTAGACGAGAGACAAGTTTGAATTGGGCGCCATTTGTTTAATTCTTTAAATCTACCTGACGCGCCGATAATGCAGAATAATGATAATTTATGACAGGCGGCTCACAACGTGCCTTCAGCACAGAATAATCATTTCTCGTATTCTTTTGACATATTAATTTTAATATTCGAGATAATTATTATATTATTCAAACACAATTTAGACACTCTAGAGCAAACAAGGCTTATCAAGCCCGTCTGTTAGTTTATTCGTCTAATAGATGTATTATTAATACCGTTTTCAAATTACACCAAAATTGAAAAATCGAAAACCGAATAATTGAAAAATTGAAACATTTTAAATGAAAAAAAATCGGTAAACCGAAAAATTGAAAAATCTATAAATCGAGAAATTGAACAATCTAAAAATTAAACAATTTAAAAATCGTAGAATTGGAAAACCAAAAAATCTAAACCGAGAACTTGAAAAATCGAATAATCGAGAAATCAAAACATCAAGGAAAACAAAAAAATTAACGGAAAATCTAGAACTTAAAAATTGAAAAATTAAAATACATATCGAAAAATTGAAAAACCGAGAAATCGAAACATCAAAAAATGGAAAAATTGAAGAACCGAAAGATTGCAAAATCTCAGAACTGAAATACTGAAAAACTGAAAAATGGAAGGAAAATTGAAAAATCGAAAAAGTGAAAAAATTCAAAACTGCAATCTTGAAAAACTGAAAAATGGAAAGAAAATTGAAGAATCGGAAAAGTGAAAAAATCCAAAACTGAAACATTGAAAAATTCAGAAATCGAAAAATTGAAAAATCACAATTGAAGAAAGAATTGAAAAATCAAGAAATAGAGAAATGGGAAAATCAAAAAATCAGTTAATCGAAAAATTGAAAAATCGAAAAATTTAGAAACGTCAAAAATTGAAAACTGAAAAATAAAAAAAATTAAAAATCGTAAAACTGAAATATCGTAAAGTTAATAAACTGAAAAACTGAAAATTTTTGAAAACAAAATCATATCAAAAAATTCAAAAAATCGAGAAATTGAACAATCAAAAAATCAAAACATTGAAATCCCAGTAAGTTGATAAATAGGAAAAGACAACAATTTTAAAAATCCAAGAATTGAACAACAAAAAAAATCTAAGCCTGAAAACTCAGAAAATTGAATGATAGAGAATAAAAAATCTAAAATTTAAAAATTCGACAAATTGAAAAATCATGGAACTGAAAAATTGAAAATTCGAGATAGTGAGAAATCTAAAAACCTAAGACTTTAAAAACTGAAAAATTAAAATATCGAAAAATTTAAAAACCGAGAAAGCACAATATCAAAAATTTGAAACATTGAAGGAACGAAATATTGCAAAATTCCAAAGCTGAAATATTGAAAAACCTAAAAATGGAAGGAAAATTAAAGAATCGAAACAGTGAAAAAATCCCAAACTGAAATATTGAAAAATTGAGAAATGGAAAAATGGGAAAATCAAAAAAATTGGTCTGAAGAGTTTAGACAGTACTTCCCTCGCTATCGGAAACGTGACGACTGCATGCCTATTATGTTTTTTTTTTCACATTAGATTTCAAAGCATTCGGTTTTGTAGTTCCTGATTAAATCAATAAAATAAATTTGCGCATTCATTAAATTTTTGGGTCACCCTGTATATCCGAATCCAAAAAATATGAATGGAATGATAAATTACAAGAAGAGACTCAGCATATTTTGTAAATTTTAAATAGGATTGTACGGCAAACTTTTGAGCTGACGTCATAAATTTTTTGGAGGGGATAAGCAAATATATTTTGACTAAAAAGTTATTATGCTCTTTATAACCTTAAAACATTTGCAAGATTTCAAAGCATTGGGTTCTGTAGTTCCTGATTAAATCAATAAAATAAATTTACGCATTCATTAATTTTTGGGGTCATCCTGTATATGCAAATCCAAAAAACATGAATGGAATGATAAATCACAAGAAGAGACTCATAATATTTTATACAATTTAGATAGGATTTATTCAGCAAAATTTTGAGGTGGCGTCATCAATTTTTTAGAGGGGATAAGTAAATATATTGTGATTAAAACGGTCCTGGTTTAATAACAAAAAAATATTATTCGTCTATAAAACAAGCTCGTCTTAGACAAAGTATTCGTAAAAAAAATATGTATGTCGTAAAAAAATTTTCGTATGCTGGTCCCGACTGTGATTATGGTTTAAATATTTTTTAGAAAATCCTGTCATGGATGTAGAAACATTTGTGACAGACAAAGAGGTTTTTTTGAGAAAATTATCTTTGAATTTAGACCAAATTGAAATAGACACTGGGCAACAGGCACATTTGGGCAAAAGAAAGAGAAATTAGGGTTACGGCTTCAAATTTTGGACGTATTTACAAACTTAGACCGACTACAGCAATAGCTAAAACTGTGGAGTCTCTGTTTTACAGTACATTTAGAGGTAATAGTCATACATACTATGGACAGCAAAGTGAGGAAAAAGCTGTCAAGTGTTTTGAAGTAAATAAAAATATAAAAACTGAACGGTGTGGCTTCTTTATTTCAAAACAATTTCCTTACTTGGCTGCTAGTCCAGACAGGGTTCTAGAGGATAGGAGTCGAAATTAAATGCCCTTCAAAATCGCAAGATTTGTCTCCCGAAGAAGCGGTTAGAAAAAAAATAATCAAATTTTGTACATTGACAGACCGAGAATTGAAACTAAAAAAAAAATCATGATTACTACTTTCAAGTCCAGGGACAAATGCTTGTTACGGGTATTTCACAAGTTTATTTTGTTGTATGGACACCCAAAGGAATAAATATAGAAAAAAATTATAAAGACGAAGAAATATATGTAAAAAGATGGCAGATAAACTTGGCAGATTTTACTTTGGCGCATTATTGCCCGAAATAATTGATTCAAGAAGAAAGAGGAACCTGCCTTTGCGAGAGATTTTTTTAAAATAAATAAAATTTGTTTCTATTTTTTTATGTACTTTAATAATTTATTAGGAGTACATTTTTCATCACCAAGACTTGCATATTTTTATTATAAATATATTTTGAAAATGATCTCTTGGCAAATGAAAACATATACGAGCACTTTTTTCGAGTAAACAATGAAGCGAGAAGTTACTGGGCGTAGGGCTTTTTTAAAACACCTCCTTTCTGGGATAAGTAGTAGATACACTTAGCTACTTATACGTGTTAAACAAAAGCTGTATTTTATATATTTTTTATTATTGTTATAAATATGTTTATTAGTTTTATTAATTAACAAAGCAAAATATATATTAACAATAATATTACAATGAATTTTTAGTAATCATGTGTATTGAATTCAGGATCCTGAGTGGAGTAAAAATATTATAGTTCCCCAGTTTTAATTCGGTTTTATGATAGTACCTCATTGCGTAAAAGTTAATTTCCTTAACAATAGATTACTACGGCCGGTCCTGGCGGCTTGTTATAAAACTGAGTTCCGCGCCATAAATTAGAAAAATCAGCCGAGAACTCTAACAATCAGCTTATGGTAGAGCAGACGATAAGGGTTTTACCTCGAATGTCCCTTCCGTAAATTTTAGTGGCGCTCCTATCGGCAAAGTACTGAACTAACTGCTCAAATTCTGTCGAATTGATACCCATTTTTTTCAATAATTGTTAGTTTTTGTTAAAAACTCTGCTAACCAATAGATCATTAATTTTCCTCTGATATTCCTGTTAAAATTATTCGAGGTATTTTGCATTAATTTGTGGTATATTTTGATTTTAATAAACACATTATTATTTAAACAAATTGTACAACTAACAAATATTTAATGACTCTGTGCCCTGTAAAAAGTGATGTTTTATCCATGTGCGAATTTTCAAGCGATTCTATGATGGTTATGACTCAAAAAACTTGAAAAGAAAACATACAATGGTGCTTTTTTTATGATATTTCTCAGCCATATTTTTTTAGGTGAATTGAACTGGTCTCTGCGCTCTAGAATATGAAAAAAGCTGCAGTTTGATACATCTATATTAATATCATTTTTTCATACAAAAAACCAAAAAAATGTTATACCTCGTCTAGCGAGTCCCCTTAACTCACCGCCTTGACCCAAAGTTTTCACTGCGACCATTTTGTATCCTTCTATGCCTCCGATTCCTATCGCTTTGGCAGAGTATACTTGTCCGAAAGCTCCGCTACCTATCACTTCTTTGACGATAATCCGGTTTCTGGGGAATTCGTATTCGTCAAACACTCTTTCCTGTAAATCTTTACATCATTAATTCTTCCAAAGTGTTAAAATTGTTTACCGAAATTTCAGCAGGTGTATACTGGAAGTTAGTCGTCATCGGAAGTTGTTCAGACCTAAAAGTGTGTTTCAATTTTTAATAAAATCGAAAAACTGGCCTAACAAATCAAAAATTAAAAAAGTGGAAATGCGAAAAGTCGAAAAATTGTTATATCCAGCAACAGAATCACCAAAAGATCGAAAGAAGGAAAAATCAGGAAATCGCAAAATTCCCGAGATTGAAATGTTGAAAAACGAAAAATCGAAAAGCCAAAAATTGTTATACGATTTTGATTTTTTCTCAAAAATCTCGAAGTCTAGGATAAAAATTCATAGCGGATACGTAGTGTTTGATCATAATATTCCTAACATACGTATAAAATGTGACAATCGATCGGAGATTATCCGTCTAATAAAAATCGACACAAACGGCGGACAGACAGACAGACTGACAGACGGAAACTTAGCTTATGCTCGGGAACTAAAAACTGCGTACCGTAATGCAATCAGATCTTGGCTTCTTCTTCTGCCTGGAATTATGAAATTCAGTACTTTGGTTTTATATTTCATTATATCCTTGAACTTCAAAATCACCACTAATATCACGACTCCGATTAAAACGAAAATTATAACGCTAATAATGGAGTAGCTTTTCATGGGTGCTGCAACTTCATAGTCAACAACAATATCGAACAACCCTTCTCCTCACCTGTAAAAGGCCGCTTATACTCCGCCCAGCACGAAAAATTATTTCTGAAAGTCCCGATCAGAGTGTAATTTTCTCCTTCAAACAACTTCATCTGAATTTCAGAAACGTGTTTTTCCAAATCGTTTTCTATAATTTTTGCTCGTTCTCTAGAACTTTTGAAATCTTCCTTAATGGACTCAACACTGAAAAGTACTCTTATCACACGTAAAACCACCGCTTCTAATACTTACTAGTCAAAGCGAACTTCCCTAATCTCGTAAAAATCGCCACTAGTCGTAGTGTTTCCAGAATCCCATTTAATCTTAAACTTGTTTCCGGAAATGGGCTCCAGGTCCAGAATTTTCGGATTCGGCTTATACTTATCACAATCACACTTGCTTTCCACGCAGTCGGGCAAAGTGTAATTAAACTGACAGTTAATTTGCTCCCCTTTTCCGTGTTGTGAAAATATGTAGATCGTGTAGGAACAACCGGGATTGACTGCTTGTCCTAGTGAGGTGACCATATCCGACTGCAAGATGCTGTTGTTCTGAAATTCGAAATTTAATTCGTGTTGGGGTTTGTTTGATACCTTACGAGTAAAGAGTGGTCAATGGTGCTCATTTCTGCCAAACAGTCAGACTTAGAGTGGGGTTGCTGGATGATGCTAATGGACACTGTGTTGTTGTTGTTGATTTCGTTCCATGATAGTTTCAGGTTGATGTAGTTGTAGGTGGTGTTGAAGTCTGGGGTGACGGTGAGGTTGGATAAAGGGCACCACTCCTGGATTGTGGTTTCTGGAATAATTGGTTTTAAATGCGAATTGTGAAGGGATGGGTTACCTTCTAGTGTGGCTTCTGCAGTGGTGGGAACTGTCTCAGACAGGCCTGTCTCTGTACAATAAATAACTTGTGTGAGTTGTTCACAAAATTAAAAAAAAATATAATCAACATTTAGTACATCAGATCTATTTTGGCAACGTGGTGTAGTCAAAACAAATCTATTTTCAAATCGCAACATGTCTACACATCAAAAGATTCATCCATGACGCTAAAATAAGCTCTTGTATACATCTATGTATCCGAAAATTGGTTGACCGGCTCATAAATTTTTCGAAAATGTTACCCAGTGACCTTAACACACGATATTTTTGGAATCAGCATGTCAAGATCTATAACCTAGAATGTTTTGAGAATTTTTAGTCGACTTCTTCAAACATGAAATTTTGTACAAATTTCGACCCATTTTTGACGATTTTCGAAATTTAACTAAACACATTTTCTTGGAGAGATCAGTCAAAACGAATAAAAAAGCGTATTAAAATAGCCAGACAATAATTTTTTAGTTGCTTACCTGTTGTATGTGAATTACCCACGACGCTAGCCTGCAATATCGATAAAATAATAATAAAATAAAATATGGTTAAATACACTGCTATAACAAGCGAATATATTTTTAAAGATGTATCGTTTCGTGATAACAAGTTCCAACCCTATCAAAGTAGTATTAAAATCACTCATAGTATTGATTGAATTTAATAAGTTGTTACAAAAATAAAAACAGTTGATTTAATTACTGTCTTGCTTTTCATAGTTCACGCGTGTGCTAAAAACGAACTAATTATTACTTAATTGTTTAGTGGATCAAACGTAGATTTAGATAATGGATTTATAATATGAAAAAAATCGTAACAGACGCAAATATCCGTCAAGGATTTGTACGTTATTCGCGAAACTGATAATGCGCGTTTTTGACTCAGAAACATAAAGCAACGAAAATAAACTACCTGATGTCGGATCAATCCTGCAACCACCACCACAGCCAACACCGTCCTGAACTGATCCATGTCAGCCACTACTCTGAAATCCAACGAAATCGAAAAAATTCGAAAAGTAAAATAACACTAGGAATCTTATTAAACTCCCGTCCTAGAAAAAAATAAATAAATCGGCCTCCATGAGTGAATGTGTATTGAGAAAAATTATGGCGAACCATCCGATATTTTCCAGATGGCTGCTTTTTCCAAGAAACGCGTTTCCGACCGACGCCTTGGACTTTCACATTATCCTTAAAAAGTCGTTTTACCGATACATCGATTTTTTTTGTCAAAGAAAACACGCAAATCCTTTAATCCTGATATCATATTTTCAACATGAGTCAATTTTTTTGAGACAAAAGATTTCAGGTGGTCTGACTGGAACTGAAATTTTTAAGTCAAGCACGTTTCAGAGCAGTCTTGCGCACAAAGGAATCGCGTGTGGTGAATAAATTAACCGTAGTCAAATCGAGCTTTGTGTTGGACGTTTTATTATTGGACGATGGTAAGGTACGAAGCGCGGCGCAAAAATTATTGTCAATCGCAAATAAGGGTGAAGTACAGGATTAGTAGGACGGCTTAACCTTCGTGGTAACTATTCTAACTGGACACGTGTTTATATTGTAACCATTAGAGGCAGTGCCGAAACCAAGGAATATTTAGGTATAGGCGAAACTTGCGTTAGGCGCCCCTCCTCTACACATAAAAATGCTATTTTACCGAACAGTTTTATTTATATTTTTTAATAACTACGCAAAACAGATACTATGATAAAATATAAAAAAGAAAAAAAATCGAGATTATACATATAGGTATATAATATGTATAAATTTTATATAAGTTCAAAATAAAATTAACATTTAAAAACCTGTCGCACCGGTTACACGTTTCTGAGTTTCCGTTCAAAATAAAAAAAGAATAATATGACATAACTCTTGGTATAGTTTTGGAAATTTCATTCCACCCTATAAAATTTTATTGACGATAACGAGACGGACAGTAGTACAATGGTAAGAAATATTTATGGCTCACACCAGTTCACCCGAATTTGTCTGAGAACATTTGCCAGGTAGTTGTACTCATAAAATAGTGGTCATTTCTGTTCATGAGTAACGAATAACGATGGTCCCTGCCCGGACTTGGATTATTCTGGTTTCTAACATCTGGGGATTATCGGCTCGCGACAACTTAAGTTGTAAATATCTCTTGCTATTGTACTACTGTCCATCTCGTTATTTCCAATAAAAGTTTATAGGGTACAATGAAATTTTCAAAATTATACAACATAATTTTTGGACGAATTTGGCGCCCCTTGTCGTTGGCGCCCCTAGGCAAGGGCCTACTCGGCCTATAGCTAGTTTCGGCACTGATTAGAGGTGTTTGTAATTTTATCGCGGCGGATAATTATTTTGGTAAACATAATCTACTGGCAAAAACAGGCCTTGGCTATTTTTCGGGTTCCTACAACTGCAGTTTCTAGCAATTGGAATCGGAAGTGTCTTGTTACTCAAAATATAAATAAATAAAAGTCCGATTTACGTTTATAAGTCAAGGAAAGAACCGAAATAATCATTTATCTGTTAATATTTGTTTGGGTTCTACAAAGTATAATTCTTAGAATTTTTCGGTTTACTTTAATATTTGTTTGTACTATATATATTCATGTCAAGGATAAACGATTATCTACATTTTATTCCAAACATTACCACTTAAAAATAAAAAAATGTATTTTCGTAGCAAACACAATTAAGACACTTGAATTTTTATATTAATTCATTTAAAAAAACACACCTTACAAAATAATACCAGTTTAATTTAACTAGACTAATGAAACTACAAAATTTATATCTATTCCGAAAACTCGAATTCTTTCACTACATATGAATGTCCACAATCTGCACAGGATTTTCCGCAAAATTTTCGATATCGCTCGGAGGAAAAATATACGTCGGATTCAACTGGTTGAAATTCACGTAAACTTTCCTCTTCTTCACATCCAGCGCGTCCACCAACTCCCGAAACGTCGGTCTATCTTCAGGATTCCGGGCCCAGCACCGCTCCATCAGCCCATACAACTCGTTGGTACAAATCTCGGGTCGCTCCAGCCGCCACCCCAACTGTAAAAACTGCTGGAGGAAGGAATCCGGGACGCTTTCGTAAGGAAAGGCCCCCAGAGTCCCGATCTCCCAGAGCACCACCCCGAACGACCACACGTCACTCTTGCTGTCATACCTTTGCTCCGCGATAGCCTCGATGGCCATCCAGCGTAATGGTAGCTTCTTAGTTTTGTGGTGGATGTAGAGGCCGCTGCGAGACAGACCGAAGTCGGAGATCTTGAGGATTTTGTGTTCGTTGATGAGGATGTTTCGAGCGGCGAGATCCCGATGCGTGACGCCGATTTTTTCCAGATGGGACATGCCCTTGGCGATTTGGAGGGCGAACTTTTGGAGCTCGGCGTCGTCGAGGACTTTGTCGAGGACGTTGGCGTAGTGAGCGAGCAGGGGGGTATTGGGAACGTCGGGACTAGAACATACACCTGAAAAACACTAGAGTAATTACCCGTTGAACTGAAAAATGTTATAGTTACTTTCAGAAACTGAAGGTAGTCGGCTGGTTTTTGTGGAATTTGAAGAGGTGGGTGACGGCGGCTCAAAGTGCGACCCACTATTGCTGTGTAAATTATTAGTAACAGTGTGCGACACTGGAAAGTACTTACTCCGGAAAGAAAATTTGTCTACTCATGGAAATATTTTTTCTATTGAGCCACTGTGCACGTAGTTCTAACAAATAATTTTTTAAGTCGCCGCAAGGGACAAACTCCATGATCATCATATACGGGGTGTCCACGGTACAACAACCGAAGAGAGCCACGATGTTCGGGTGTTTACCAATTTTCTTAAAAATCTCGATTTCTGCTATAAAATCGTTGATAGCTTCTCGAGTTATGTTTTCTAGAAATCATAATGTTATCACTCGTTTTTACACACTTGTATGTTTTCACCCACCGCCTTCACCCAAAGTTTTCACTGCGACCATTTTGTATCCTTCTATGCCTCCGATTCCTATCGCTTTGGCAGAGTATACTTGTCCGAAAGCTCCGCTACCTATCACTTCTTTGACGATAATCCGGTTTCTGGGGAATTCGTATTCGTCAAACACTCCTTCCTGTAAATCTTTTCACCATTAATTCTTCCAAAGTGTTAAAATTGTTTACCGAAATTTCAGCAGGTGTATACTGGAAGTTAATGGTCATCGGAAGTTTTTCAGACCTAAAAGTGTGTTTAAATTTTAAATAAAATCGAAAAATTGGCCTAGCAAATCAAAAATTAAAAGAATGGAAATGCGAAAAGTCGAAAAATTGTTATATCCAGCAACAAAATCACCAAAAGATTCGAAAGAAGGAAAAATCAGGAAATTGCAAGATTCTCGAAATTGAAATGTTGAAAAACGAAAAATCGAAAATCCAAAAATTGTTACACGATTTTGATTTTTTCTCAAAAATCTCGAATTCTAGGTTAAAAATTCAACACGGAAACATAGTTTTTGATCATCGACATGATATTCCTAACATTCATACAAAAAGTGACAACAATCGATCTGATAGCTTCGGAGCTTGTTTGTCTAATAAAAATCAACACAGACGGCGGACAGACAGACAGACTGACAGACGGAAACTTAACGTAGGATAGGAACTAAAAACTACGTACCGTAATGCAACCAGATGTTGGTTTCCTCTTCTTCCTGGAATTATGAAATTCAGGATTTTGGCTTTACATCTCACTATATCCTTGAACTTCAGAATCACCATCAATATCACGACTCCGATTAAAGCGAAAATTATAATGTTAACGTTAACGACGAAGTCGCTTTTCTTGTGTGCTTTAACAGCAGAGTCAACAATAATAGCGTCTGGAAAAAAAAAGTTATGCTTCGCCTCGGCCTCACACCAAAAATTATTTGTGAAAACCCCTATCAGAGTGTAATTTTCTCCTGCAACCAACTTCATCTGAATTTCAGAAACGTGTTTTTCCAAATCGTTTTCTGCAATTTCTGCTGATTTTCTGTAAAAATCGAAGTCCCTATTACTGGACTCAACACTGAAAAGTACTCTTATCACACGTAAAACCACCGCTTCTAATGCTTACTAGTCAAAGCGAACTTCCCTATTCTCGTAATAATCACCACTAGCCGTAGTGTTTCCAGGATCCCATTTAATCTTAAACTTGTTTCCAGAAACGGCCTTCAGGTCGAGAATTTTTGGATTCGGCTTATAGTTATAACACAAGTCTACGCAGTCGGGCAAAGTGTAATTAAACATAAAATTAATTTGCTCTCCTTTTTCGTGTCCTGTTGGTTGACTGGCTCATAAATTTTTAAATTTATTTTTTCGAAATTTAACTTCCTTTGATATCGCTTTCAAAATTGGGGCGAATCCGGTGTTTGAGGTTCTTAATAATTATTTCGCAATCTCTAGTTATTATATTGTCTAAATTCATTAAAAATATATTTTAATCTGACACAGGATAACGGGATAACCTTTTACTGGTCCTTATCAAATTTTTTTCAGGTACTTAAGAATATAAAAGATACAGAAAAATAAGGAGATAAAATGCTTTCATTGAAATAAGATTGATCACATAAGAGAGTTCAGAAGGAAAAAACCTGGTTTATGTTACTTACATAGGTCGAAATCGGAATTTGCTTAAATTAAGTTAGTTGGGTCATAATTTTCAGGAACAGAACACATTAAAACTTGTGTGTGTGGTAATACAAATAAATTAATCTTCAAACTGCATTATTTCTCAAGAATGAAAAAACGACGTTTCATAGCTCTTAGAATATGAAAAATCGGTTTCCCGTTTCCGTCTCTGTGTCTGGATTAGACGAATTTCAGACACTGCTAGACTAATTATTGTAAAATTCGAATTTACCAACAAATTTTTCCAGAATATTGCTCTGTCAGCATAGTCAACAACAATAACGAATAAGCTATCTCCTCACCTGTGAAAGACCACGTACACTCCGCCCAACAAGAAAAATTATTTCTGAAAGTCCCTATCAGAATGTAATTTTTTCCTTCAAACAACTTCATCTGAAGTTCATAAACGTGTTTTTCCAAATCGTTTTCGATAATTTCTGCTCGTTCTCTAGAACTTCCGAAATCCTCGTTAATGGACTCAACACTGAAAAAGTACTCTTATCACACGTAAAACCACCGCTTCTAATACTTACTAGTCAAAGCGAACTTCCCTAATCTCGTAAAAATTGCCACCAGTCGTAGTGTCTCCAGGATCCCATTTAATCTTAAACTTGTTTCCGGAAATGTGCTCCAGGTCCAGAATTTTTGGATTCGGCTCATACTTATCACAATCACACTTGCTTTCCACGCAGTCGGGCAAAGTGTAATTAAACTCACAGTTAATTTGCTCCCCTTTTTCGTATTCTGAAAATATGTAGATCGTGTAGGAACAACCGGGATTGACTTGTCCTAGTGAGGTGACCATATTCGACTGCAAGATGCTGTTGTTCTGAAATTCGAAATTTAATTCGTGTTGGGGTTTGTTTGATACCTTACGAGTAAAGAGTGGTCAATGGTGCTCATTTCTGCCAAACAGTCGGACTTAGAGTGGGGTTGCTGGATGATGCTAATGGACACTGTGTTGTTGTTGTTGATTTCGTTCCATGATAGTTTCAGGTTGATGTAGTTGTAGGTGGTGTTGAAGTCTGGGGTGACGGTGAGGTTGGATAAAGGGCACCACTCCTGGATTGTGGTTTCTGGAATAATTGGTTTTAAATGCGAATTGTGAAGGGATGGGTTACCTTCTAGTGTGGCTTCTGCAGTGGTGGGAACTGTCTCAGACAGGCCTGTCTCTGTACAATAAATAACTTGTGTGAGTTGTTCACAAAATTAAAAAAAAATATAATCAACATTTAGTACATCAGATCTATTTTGGCAACGTGGTGTAGTCAAAACAAATCTATTTTCAAATCGCAACATGTCTACACATCAAAAGATTCATCCATGACGCTAAAATAAGCTCTTGTATACATGTATGTATCCGAAAATTGGTTGACCGGCTCATAAATTTTTCGAAAATGTTGCCCAGTGACCTTAACACACGATATTTTTGGAATCAGCACGTCAAGATCTATAACCTAGAATTTTTTGAGAATTTTTAGTCGACTTCTTCAAACATGAAATTTTGTACAAATTTCGACCCATTTTTGACGATTTTCGAAATTTAACTAAACACATTTTCTTGGAGAGATCAGTCAAAACGAATAAAAAAGCGTATTAAAATAGCCAGACAATAATTTTTTAGTTGCTTACCTGTTGTATGTGAATTACCCACGACGCTAGCCTGCAATATCGATAAAATAATAATAAAATAAAATATGGTTAAATACACTGCTATAACAAGCGAATATATTTTTAAAGATGTATCGTTTCGTGATAACAAGTTCCACCCCTATCAAAGTAGTATTAAAATCACTCATAGTATTGATTGAATTTAATAAGTTGTTACAAAAATAAAAACAGTTGATTTAATTACTGTCTTGCTTTTCATAGTTCACGCGTGTGCTAAAAACGAACTAATTATTACTTAATTGATTAGTGAATCAAACGTAGATTTAGATAATGGTTTTATAATATAAAAAAAATCGTAACCGACGCAAATATCCGTCAAGGTTTTGTACGTTATTCGCGAAACTGATAATGCGCGTTTTTAACTCAGAAACATAAAGCAACGAAAATAAACTACCTGGTGTCGGATCAATCCTGCAACCACCACCACAGCCAACACCGTCCTGAACTGATCCATGTCAGCCACTAGTCTGAAATCCAACGAAATCGAAAAAATTCGAAAAGTAAAATAACACTAGGAATCTTATTAAACTCCCGTCCTAGAAAAAAATAAATAAATCGACCTCCATGAGTGAATATGTATATTGAGAAAAATTATGGCGAACCATCCGATATTTTCCAGATGGCTGCTTTTTCCAAGAAACGCGTTTCCGACCGACGCCTTGGACTTTCACATTATCTTTAACAAGTCGTTTTAGCGATACATCGATTTTTTTGTCAGAGAAAACACGCAAATCCTTTAATCCTGATATCATATTTTAAACATGAGTCAATTTTTTTGAGACAAAAGATTTCAGGTGGTCTGACTGGAACTGAAATTTTTAAGTCAAGCACGTTTCAGAGCAGTCTTGCGCATAAAGGAATCGCGTGTGGTGAATAAATTAACCGTAGTCAGACGGAGCTTTGTGTTGGAGGTTTTATCATTGGGCGATGGTAAGGTACGAACCGCGGCGCAAAAATTATTATCAATCGCAAATAGGGTGAAGCACAGGATTAGTAGGACGGCTTAACGTTCATGGTAAATATTACAACTGGACACGTGTTCATATTGTAACTATTAGAGGTGTTTGTAATTTTATCGCGGCGGATAATTATTTTGGTAAACATAATCTGCTGGCAAAAACAGGCCTTGGCTATTTTTCGGGTTCCTACAACTGCAGTTTCTAGCAATTGGAATCGGAAGTGTCTTGTTACTCAAAATATAAATAAATAAAAGTCCGATTTACGTTTATAAGTCAAGGAAAGAACCGAAATAATCATTTATCTGTTAATATTTGTTTGGGTTCTACAAAGTATAATTCTTAGAATTTTTCGGTTTACTTTAATATTTGTTTGTACTATATATATTCATGTCAAGGATAAACGATTATCTACATTTTATTCCAAACATTACCACTTAAAAATAAAAAAATGTATTTTCGTAGCAAACACAATTAAGACACTTGAATTTTTATATTAATTCATTTAAAAAAACACACCTTACAAAATAATACCAGTTTAATTTAACTAGACTAATGAAACTACAAAATTTATATCTATTCCGAAAACTCGAATTCTTTCACTACATATGAATGTCCACAATCTGCACAGGATTTTCCGCAAAATTTTCGATATCGCTCGGAGGAAAAATATACGTCGGATTCAACTGGTTGAAATTCACGTAAACTTTCCTCTTCTTCACATCCAGCGCGTCCACCAACTCCCGAAACGTCGGTCTATCTTCAGGATTCCGGGCCCAGCACTGCTCCATCAACCCATACAACTCGTTGGTACAAATCTCGGGTCGCTCCAGCCGCCACCCCAATTGTAAAAACTGCTGGAGGAAGGAATCCGGGACGCTTTCGTAAGGAAAGGCCCCCAGAGTCCCGATCTCCCAGAGCACCACCCCGAACGACCACACGTCACTCTTGCTGTCATACCTTTGCTCCGCGATAGCCTCGATGGCCATCCAACGTAATGGTAGCTTCTTGGTTTTGTGGTGGATGTAGAGGCCGCTACGAGACAGACCGAAGTCGGAGATCTTAAGGATCTTGTATTCGTTGATGAGGATGTTTCGAGCGGCGAGATCCCGATGGGTGACGCCGATTTTTTCCAGATGGGACATGCCCTTGGCGATTTGAAGGGCGAACTTTTGGAGCTCGGCGTCGTCGAGGACTTTGTCGAGGGCGTTAGCGTAGTGGGCGAGGAGGGGGGTCATGGGAACGTCGGGACTAGAGCATGCGCCTGAAAAACACTGGAGTAATTACCCGTTGAACTGAAAAATGTTGTAGTTACTTTCAGAAACTGAAGGTAGTCGGCTGGTTTTTGTGGAATTTGAAGAGGTGGGTGACGGCGGCTCTATGTACGACCCACTATTGCTGTGTAAATTATTAGTAACAGTGTGCGACACTGGAAAGTACTTACTCCGGAAAGAAAATTTGTCTGCTCATGGAAACATTTTTTCTATTGAGCCACTGTGCACGTAGTTCTAACAAATAATTTTTTAAGTCGCCGCAAGGGACAAACTCCATGATCATCATATACGGGGTGCCCACGGTACAACAACCCAGGAGAGCCACGATGTTCGGGTGTTGACCAATTTTCTTAAAAATTTCGATTTCTGCTATAAAATCGTTGATAGCTTCTCGAGTTATGTGTTCTAGAAGTCATAATGTTATCACTCGTATTTACACACTTGTATGGTTTAACTCACCGCCTTCACCCAAAGTTTTCACTGCGACCATTTTGTATCCTTCTATGCCTCCGATTCCTATCGCTTTGGCAGAGTATACTTGTCCGAAAGCTCCGCTACCTATCACTTCTTTGATGATAATTCGGTTTCTGGGGAATTCGTATTCGTCAAACACTCTTTCCTGCAAATCTTTTCACCATTAATTTTTCCAAAGTGTTAAAACTGTTTACCGAAATTTCAGCAGGTATATACCGGAAGTTAGTGGTCATCGGAAGTTGTTCAGACCTAAAAGTGAGTTTCAATTTTACATAAAACTGAAAAATTGGCCTAACAAATCAAAAATTAAAAAAATGGAAATGCGAAAAGTCGAAAAATTTTTATATCCAGCAACAGAAACATCAAAGAATCGAAAGAAGGAAAAAATCAGGAAATCGAAAAATTCCTGAAATTGGAATGTTGAAAAACGAAAAATCGTTACGCTCGTACCGCAATGCAACCGGATCTTGATGGTTTCTTCTTCTGCCTGGAATTATGACATTCAGAACTTTGGTTTTATATTTTACCATATTCTGGAACTTCAGAATCACCACTAATATTAAAATCACTCCGATTAAAGCGAAAATTATAACACCAACGCTGAATTGGCTTTTCTTGGGTGCTGTAACAGCACAGTTAACAACAATAACGAACAACCCTTCTTCTCACCTGTGAAAGACCGCGTACTCTCCGCCCGACATGAAAAATTATTTCTGAAATTCCCGATCAGAGTATAATTTTCTCCTTCAAACAACTTCATCTGAATTTCAGAAATGTGTTTTTCCAAATCGTTTTCTAAAATTTCTGCTCGTTCTCTATAAATTTTGAAATCCCCCTTAATGGACTCAACACTGAAAAGCACTCTTATCACACGTAAAACCACCGCTTCTAATACTTACTAGTCAAAACGAACTTCCCTAATCTCGTAAAAATCGCCACCAGTCGTAGTGTCTCCAGGATCCCATTTAATCTTAAACATGTTTCCGGAAATGGGTTCCAGGTCCAGAATTTTTGGATTCGGCTCATACTTATCACAATCACACTTGCTTTCCACGCAGTCGGGCAAAGTGTAATTAAACTCACAGTTAATTTGCTCCCCTTTTTCGTATTCTGAAAATATGTAGATCGTGTAGGAACAACCGGGATTGACTTCTCCTGATGAGGTGACCATATCCGACTGCAAGATGCTGTTGTTCTGAAATTCCAAATTTAATTCATGGTAGGGTTTGTTTAATACCTTACGAGTAAAGAGTGGTCAAAGGTGTGCATTTCTGCCAAACAGTCGTACTTAGAGTCGGGTTGCTGGATGATGCTGATGGACACTGTGTTGTTGTTGTCGATTTTGTTCCATGACAGTTTCAGGTTGATGTAGTTGTAGATGGTGTCGAAGTCGGGGGTGACGGTGAGGTTGGATAAAGGGCACCACTCCTGGATTGTGGTTTCTGGAATAATTGGATTTATATGCGAATGGTGAAAAGAAGGGTTGCCTTCTAGGGTGGCTTCTGGAATGGTGGGAACTACAGACTTGTTTTTGTACAATGAATAACTTGCGTGAGTTGTTCACAAAATTGAAAAAAAAAAATTAATTAACGTTTAGTACATCAGATCTATTTTGACAACGTAATGTAGTTGCTTACCTGTTGCAGTCGAATTACCCACGACGCTAGCCTGCAAGATCGATAAAATAATAGCATTAAAATGACATATGTTGCGCTACATAAGCCGTATAATCCGCAGCATATGGTTAAGTACATTGTTATAACAAGCGAATATATTTTTAAAGATGTATAGTTTCAAAATGATGCCGTGATAACAAGTCCCCATTTAAGAGTTATCTCTATCAAAAATAAAAATAGTTGATTTGATTAATATTTGTTCCGCTTTTTAACAGTTCCACTAATTAACTTAATTGTTTCGTCGATTAAACGGAGATTTACATAACAGATTACTAATACGAAGAAACGAAATTAAATTACCTGATTTCGGCCTAATCCTCCAACCACCACCACAACCAACACCGTTCTAAACTGACCCATATCAACCACTATTCTGAATACTACCAAAATAAAAAAAAATCGAAAACTGAGATCCCACTCAACTATCTACAACGAGGAATCTTTTTGACATGACATAACAGATTCCGCCAAAATAAATCAGGCTACGATAAAAACAAGGTTGTTTAAAATTCGTCAGTAATTCGGCTGATTAATGGAAAATCGAGTCAAATTATGGGAACCGTCTGATATTTTCCAGATGGCTGCTACTACCAAGAAGCGCGTTTCCGATCGGCGCCTTCGAGTTTCACTTTATCTTTAAAAAGCCGTTTAACCCATACATCTGCATGTTTTTATCAGAGCAAACTTGCTAATCCTTTAATCCTTATATCGTACTATCAACATAAGCCAATTTTGTTGCGACAAAAGATTTCCGGTGACTTGACTGGAATTGAAAATTTTAATTGAAGCACGTTTCAGAGCAGCTTTGCGCGCAAACGAATCGCGAATTAGGAGCTTTGTTTGTGATAAATTGGAAGTTTTATGAATGGGATAAGGTACAAAGACTACTATCAGTCGTAAATAAGGGTGAAGCACAGGATTAGTAGGACGCGCCAACGTCGCGTCGTGGTAAATATTACAACTAGATACGTGTTTATATTGTAACCATTAGAGGTGTTTGTAATTTTATCGCAAGGGAAACATAAACTACTGGAAAAAACAAGCATTGGATATTTTTCATATTCCTGAAACTGCAATTTCTAGCATTTGGAATCGGAAGTGTGTTGTTACGCAAAATATAAATAAATAAAAGTTCGATCCGCGTTTATAAGTCAAGGTAAATATCGAAATCTTCATTTATCTGTTTATTCTAATATGTATAATTCTTAGAATTTTTAGCTTTACCTTTATATTTGTTTGTACTATTTTCATCCCAAGGATAAACGATTACATTTTATTAGAGATTATATTTAACCTAATATTTCTAACAGATTGGTTCTAGTATGTACGGCGATGAACGATGATAGTCATTGTCGTTGACAGCGGCCGCAGAATTATTTCATACATAATCGCTGCATAGTTTGTCGTATAAATTGGAGTTATTAAGAAATTAAATTGTTGAGTTTTACCCACGCCGATTTTAATCACCAGTTCAACGTAACAGTATTTTAACGCATTCAAGTATGCACTTATGAGCTGCTCATTTCATTCCCATTTTTTTACTGTTCATATTTTATCAGCCAATATGTTATTGAACATGCAGTTTGTATTTTCATACTGACCAAAACTGTATTATATTACTGCCCCTTTAAATTATAGTTTATTTAAATTTGTCTGTTAAACATTTTAGTGGCCATTCAACCTAATGACCTAGATGGCTGTAAAATGTAAATTGTGAGTCATAAGAGACACCTAATTTTATTAATATATGCAAAATTTGACTTAAATTAATGCATTAATAAAACTAACTAATAACCAGAACAAATAAATAACTGTTATGTTTAATAGTATTCAGATGAGTCCCAAAATTTCAACGAAACTTATTGTTTTTTATTTTGACAATCAAGACACTTGAATTTTTTTTATATTAAACACACCTTACAAAATAATACCGGTTTAATTTAACTAGCCTAATGTAAGTACAAAAATTAATCATATTTACACTTGGTATATTCCGAAAACTAGAGTTCATCACTGCATGTGAATGTCCACAGTTTGCGCAAAATTTTCGATATCACTCGGAGGAAAAACATACGTCGGATTCAAGTGGTTAAAATTCACGTAAACCCTCCTCTTTTTCACATCCAGTGCCTCTACCAACTCCCGAAACGTCGGTCTATCTTCGGGATTCCGCGCCCAGCACAGCCCCATCAACTCATACAACTCGTTGGTACAAATCTCGGGTCGCTCCAGCCGCCGCCCCATTTGTAAAAACTGCTGGAGGAAGGAATCCGGGACGCTTTCGTAAGGAAAGGCCCCCAGAGTCCCGATCTCCCAGAGCACCACCCCGAACGACCACACGTCACTCTTACTGTCATACTTTTGCTCCACGATGGCCTCGATGGCCATCCAGCGTAATGGTAGCTTCTTGGTTTTGTGGTTGATGTAGGGGCCGCTACGAGACAGACCGAAGTCCGAGATCTTAAGGGTCTTGTTTTCGTTGATGAGGATGTTTCGAGCGGCGAGATCCCGATGGGTGACGCCGATTTTTTCCAAATGGGACATGCCCTTGGCGATTTGGAGGGCGAACTTTTGGAGCTCGGCGTCGTCGAGGACTTTGTCGAGGGCGTCAGCGTAGTGGGCGAGGAGAGGCGTCATGGGAACGTCGGGACTAGAACATGCACCTGAAAAACACTGGAGTAATTACCCGTTGAACTGAAAAATATTATAGTTACTTTCAGAAACTGAAGGTAAGGTACTGGTTTTTGTGGAATTTGAAGAGGTGGGTGACGGCGGCTCAAAGTGCGACCCACTATTGCTGTGTAAATTATTAGTAACAGTGTGCGACACTGGAAAGTACTTACTCCGGAAAGAAAATTTGTCTGCTCATGGAAACATTTTTTCTATTGAGCCACTGTGCACGTAGTTCTAACAAATAATTTTTTAAGTCGCCGCAAGGGACAAACTCCATGATCATCATATACGGGGTGTCCACGGTACAACAACCCAGGAGAGCCACTATGTTCGGGTGTTTACCAATTTTCTTAAAAATCTCGATTTCTGCGATAAAATCGTTGATAGCTTCTCGAGTTATGTTTTCTAGAAATCATGTTATCACTCGTATTTACACACTTGTATGGTTTAACTCACCGCCTTCACCCAAAGTTTTCACTGCGACCATTTTGTATCCTTCTATGCCTCCGATTCCTATCGCTTTGGCAGAGTATACTTGTCCGAAAGCTCCGCTACCTATCACTTCTTTGATGATAATCCGGTTTCTGGGGAATTCGTATTCGTCAAACACTCCTTCCTGTAAATCTTTTCACCATTAATTCTTCCAAAGTGTTAAAATTGTTTACCGAAATTTCAGCAGGTGTATACTGGAAGTTAGTGGTCATCGGAAGTTTTTCAGACCTAAAAGTGTGTTTAAATTTTAAATAAAATCGAAAAACTGGCCTAACAAATCAAAAATTAAAAAAATGGAAATACGAGAAGTCGAAAAATGTTATATCCAGTAACAAAATCACCAAAAGATCGAAAGAAGGAATAATCAGGAAATCGCAAAATTCCCGAAATTGAAATGTTGAAAAACGAAAAATCGAAAAGCCAAAAATTGTTATATGATTTTGATTTTTTCTCAAAAATCTCGAAGTCTAGGATAAAAATTCATAGCGGATACGTAGTGTTTGATCATAATATTCCTAACATACGTATAAAATGTGACAATCGATCGGAGATTATCGGTCTAATAAAAATAGACACAGACGGCGGACAGACAGACAGACAGACAAACGGAAACTTATCTTACGCTCGGGAACTAAAAACTGCGTACCGTAATGTAACCAGATCTTGGCTTCTTCTTCTGCCTGGAATTATGAAATTCAGAACTTTGGTTTTATATTTCATTATATCCTTGAACTTCAAAATCACCACTAATATCACGACTCCGATTAAAGCGAAAATTATAATACTACCGCTGGAGTGGCTTTTCATGGGTGCTGTAACTTCATAGTCAACAACAATATCGAACAACCCTTCTCCTCACCTGTGAAAAGCCGTTTATACTCCACAAAGCACGAAAAATTATTTCTGAAAGTCCCGATCAGAGTATAATTTTCTCCTTCAAACAACTTCATCTGAATTTCAGAAACGTGTTTTTCCAAATCGTTTTCTAAAATTTTTGCCGATTCTCTGTTAAAACCGAAGTCCATTTCACTGGACTCAATACTGAAAAAGATTCATGTCACAGGTAAAACCACCGCTTCTCGTACTTACTAATCAAAGCGCACTTCCCTATTCTCGTAAGGATCACCATCAGCCGTAGTGTCTCCAGGATCCCATTTAATCGTAAACTTATTTTCAGAAATGTCCTCCAGGTCTAGAATTTTTGGATTCGGCTTATACTTATCACAATCATACTTGTTTCCCACGCAGTCGGGCAAAGTGTAATTAAACGTACAATAAATTTGCTCCGGTTTTTCGTGTTCTGAATGTATATTGATCCAATAGGGACAACCGGGATTGACTTCATCTGAGGTGACCATATTCGGCTGCAAGATGCTGTTGTTCTGGAATTCGAAATTTAATTCGTGGTGGGTTTTTTTAGAAGTCTTACGAGTAAAGGATGGTTAAAAATGTGCATTTCTGGATAACAGTCCTTAGTAGAGTTGGGATGCTTGATGATGTCGATGGACACTGTGCTGTTGTTGTCGATTTCGTTCCATGACAGTTTCAGGTTGATGTAGTTGTCAATGGTGTTGAACTCAGGGGTGATGGTGAGGTTGGATAAAGGTCCACACTCCTGGATTGTGGTTTCTGGAATAATTGGTTTTACATGCGAATTGTGAAAGGAAGGGTTACCTTCTAGGGTGGCTTCTGGAGTGGTGGGAACAGCCACGGACTGACTTTTCCCTGTACAATGAATAACTTGTGTGAATTGTTCACAAAATTAAAAAAAATATAAGCTAACGTTAAGTACATTTTGTAGTCAAAACAAATCTATTTTGAAATTGCAACATTTCTGCAGATCAAAGGATTCACACATGACGCTAAAATAAGCTCTTGTTTACGTGTATGAATCCGAAAATTGGTTGACTGGCTCATAAATTTTTAAATTGATTTCTTCCAAATTTAGCTTCCGCTGATATCACTTTCAAAATTGGAGCAAATCCGGTGTTTGACATTGTTAGTGTCGATTTCGCAATCTCTATCACTATATTATCAAAATTAACTAAAGATTAATTTTAATCTAGAACAGGATAACGGGATTACTTGTCACTGTTTGTTATCAAGATTTATTGAGACGTTTAAGAATGTAGAAGATTCAGAAATATAATATACTAGACTAATTATTGTAAAATTTTTGAGATTGTGACCCGTCAAAACGAATAAAGAAGCGTATTAGGATAGCCAGACGATAATTTTTTAATTGCTTACCTGTTGCATTCGAATTACCCACGACGCTAGCCTGCAAGATCGATAAAATAATAACATTAAAATGACATATGTTGCACCACATAACCCGTTTAATCCGCAGCATATGGTTAAATACATTGTTATAACAAGCCAATATATTTTTAAAGATGTATTGTTACAAAGTGATATCGTGATAACAAGTCCCATCCTTATCAAACTAGTATCAAAATTACTCATACTTTTGATTGAATTGAATAAGGCTCATTTACACATCTAAGTGTTATCTCTAATCAAAATAAAAATAGTTGATTTAATTAATGTTTGTTCCGCCTTTTAATAGTTCCACGGATTTCTCTAACAAAAACCGATACACCTGTTTTTTCGTGGTTCAAGCGTGTTCTAAAAACGAACTAATAATTACTTAATTGTTTAGTCGATCAAACGGAGATTTAGATAACGGATTTCTAATATGAAAAAAATCATAACTGACGCAAATATCCGTCAAGGACTTGTATGTAACAAAAACATAAAGCAACGAAAATAAACTACCTGGTTTCGGACCAATCCTGCAGCCACCACCACAACGAACACCGTCCTGAACTGATCCATTTCAACCACAATTCTGAACAGTAACAAAATCGAAAAAATCGAAAACTAAGCTACCACTTCTTGACTTCCCGTAACAGAATTCGCCAAATTAAATTACCCCACGAAACAAACAATGTTGTTTAAAACTTGTTAGTAATTCCGCTAATTTATGGAAAATTGAGAAAATTATTTCGAACCGTCCGATATTCTCCAGATGGCCGCTCTTACCAAAGACACGCTTTCCGATCGGCGGCTTCGATTTTCACTTTATCTTTGAAAAGTCTAACCGAAACATCTGCATGTTTTTATCAGAACAAACTCGCTAATCCTTTAATTCTTATATCATACTATCAACATTAGTCAATTTTTTTGCCACAAAAGATGTCGGGTTATCTGACTGCAATTGCAATTTTTAATTGTAGCACGTTTCAGAGCAGCTTTGCGCACAAACGAATCTCGTGTGGCGAATAAATTAAGAGTAGTCAGATCGAGCTTTGTGTTGGGGGTTTTATCATTGGACGGTGATAAGGAACGAAGTGTGGCGCAAAAATTACTATCAATCGTAAATAAGGGTGAAGCACAGGATTAGTAGGACGCGCTAACGTTCGTGGTAAATATTACAACTGCAATCGTGTTTATATTGTAACCATTAGAGGTGTTTGTAATTTTACCGCGACGGATAATTATTTAGGCAAACATAATCTACTAGGCTATTTTTCGTGTTCCTAGAACTGCAATTTCTAGAAATTGGAACCGGAAGTGTCTTGTTACTCAAGATATAAATAAATAAAAGCCCGATGTACCTTTATAAGTGAAGGTAAATACCGAAATCTTCATTTATCTGTTTATGTTTGTTCGGATTCTATTCTACAGTGTATAATTTTTAGAATTTTTCGGTTTATCTTTGTATTTGTTTGCACTATTTTCATCTCAAGGATAAACGATTACATTTTATTAGAAATTATATTTTCGTTATACAATAAAAATATATTTTTTCGTTGCAAAACTGTTTGTATGTTTTACTCAAAATCGACTATAATATTAAAATACTACTAGATTTTTCAGCCAATAAATGTAAATAAATTAACAAAAGTACATGTATGAGAACTGTCGCAATTATTGCATACATAATCGCTGTATAGTTAGTCGTATAAATTGGAGTTATTAAGAAATTAAGTTGTTGAGTCTTACCCACGCCGATTTTAATCATCCGTTCAACGTAACAGTATTTTCACGCATTCAAGTATGCACTTATGAGCTGTTCATTCCTTTCCCATTTTTTTACTGTTCATATTTTATCAGCCAATATGTTATTGAACATGCAGTTTGTATTTTCATACTGACCCAAACTGTAATATATTACTGCCCCTTTAAATTATTGTTTATTTAAATATGTCTGTTAAACTTTCTAGTGGCCATTCAACCTAATGACCTATATGGGTGTAAAATGTAAATTGTGAGTCATAAGAGACACCTAATTTTACTAATATATGCAAAATTTGACTTAAATTAATGCATTAATAAAAAATAAATTCTTTACGGAAAAAAGTATGTCGGATTCAACTGATCAAAATTCAGATAAATCTTTCTCTTCTTGATATCCAGCGCCGCAACCATCAGCTCTTGAAACGTGGGCCTGTGCTCAGGATTTTCATGGAAACACTAACTACCAACCAGAACATATAAATAATTGTTATGTTTAATAGTATTTAGATGAGTCCCAAAATTTTAATGAAACTTATTGTTTTTTATTTTGACAATCAAGACACCTGAATTTTTTATATTAAACACACCTTACAAAATAATACCGGTTTAATTTAACTAGCCTAATGTAAGTACAAAAATTAATCATATTACACGTGGTATATTCCGAAAACTAGAGTTCATTCACTGCATGTGAATGTCCCCAATTTGCGCAAAATTTTCGAAATCGCTCGGAGGAAAAACATACGTCGGATTCAAGTGGTTAAAATTCACGTAAACCCTCCTCTTCTTCACATCCAGCGCCTCCACCAACTCCCGAAACGTCGGTCTATCTTCGGGATTCCGCGCCCAGCACAACCTCATCAACTCATACAATTCGTTGGTACAAATCTCGGGTCGCTCCAGGCGCCGCCCCATTTGTAAAAACTGCTGGAGGAAGGAATCCGGGACGCTTTCGTAAGGAAAGGCCCCCAGAGTCCCGATCTCCCAGAGCACCACCCCGAATGACCACACGTCACTCTTGCTGTCATACTTTTGCTCCACGATGGCCTCGATGGCCATCCAACGTAATGGTAGTTTCTTAGTTTTGTGGTTGATGTAGGGGCCGCTACGAGATAGACCGAAGCCGGAGATTTTGAGGATCTTGTATTCGTTGATAAGGATGTTTCGAGCGGCGAGACTCCGATGGGTGACGCCGATTTTTTCCAGATGGGACATGCCCTTGGCGATTTGGAGAGCGAAGTTTTGGAGTTCTGTGTCGTCGAGGATTTTGTTGAGGGCGTTAGCGTAGTGGGCGAGGAGAGGGGTCATGGGAACGTCGGGACTAGAACATGCGTCTGAAAAACACTGGAGTAATTACCCGTTGAACTGAAAAATGTTGTAGTTACTTTCAGAAACTGAAGGTAGTCGGCCCGTTTTCGTGGAATTTGAAGAGGTGGGTGACGGCGGATCTATGTACGACCCACTATTGCTGTGTAAATTATTAGTAACAGTGTGCGACACTGGAAAGTACTTACTCCGGAAAGAAAATTTGTCTACTCATGGAAATATTTTTTCTCTTGAGCCACTGTGCCCGTAGTTCTAACAAATATTTTTTTAAGTCGCCGCAAGGGACAAACTCCATGATCATCATATACGGGGTGTCCACGGTACAACAACCCAGGAGAGCCACTATATTCGGGTGTTTACCAATTGTCTTAAAAATCTCGATTTCTGCTATAAAATCGTTGATAGCTTCTCGAGTTATGTTTTCTAGAAGTCATAATATTATCACTCGTATTTACGCACTTGTATGGTTTAACTCACCTCCTTCACCCAAAGTTTTCACTGCGACCATTTTGAATCCGTCTATGCTTCCGATTCCTATCGCTTTGGCAGAGTATACTTGTCCGAAAGCTCCGCTACCTATCACTTCTTTGATGATAATCCAGTCGCTGGGGAATTCGTATTCGTCAACCACTCCTTCCTGTAAATCTTTTCACCATTAATTCTTCCGAAGTGTTAAAATTGTTTACCGAAATTTCAGCAGGTATATACTGGAACTTAGTGGTCATCGGAAGTTGTTCAGACCTAAAAGTGAGTTTCAATTTTAAATAAAACTGAAAAATTGGCCTAACAAATCAAAAATTCAAAAAATAGAAATGCGAAAAGTCGAAAAATTGTTATATCCAGCAACAGAAACATCAAAGAATCGAAAGAAGGAAAACATCAGGAAATCGAAAAATTCCTGAAATTGAAATGTTGAAAAACGAAAAATCGTTACGGTCGTACCGCAATGCAACCAGATCTTGATGGTTTCTTCTTCTGCCTGGAATTATGACATTCAGAACTTTGGTTTTATATTTTACCATATTCTGGAACTTCAGAATCACCACTAATATTAAAATCACTCCGATTAAAGCGAAAATTATAACACTAACGCTGAATTGGCTTTCCATGGGTGCTGTAACAGCACAGTTAACAACAATAACGAACAACCCTTCTTCTCACCTGTGAAAGACCGCGTACTCTCCGCCCGACATGAAAAATTATTTCTGAAATTCCCGATCAGAGTGTAATTTTCTCCTTTAAACAACTTCATCTGAATTTCAGAAACGTGTTTTTCCAAATCGCTTTCTATAATTTCTGCTGATTCTCTGTACAAATCGAACTCCCCCTTACTGGACTCAACACAAAAGTACTGTTATCACACGTAAAACCACCGCCTCTAGTACTTACTAGCTAAAGCGCATTTCCCTAATCTCGTAAAAATCGCCACCAGTCGTAGTGTCTCCAGGATCCCATTTAATCTTAAACTTGTTTCCGGAAATGTGCTCCAGGTCCAGAATTTTTGGATTCGGCTTATACTTATCACAATCACACTTGCTTTCCACGCAGTCGGGCAAAGTGTAATTAAACTGACAGTTAATTTGCTCCCCTTTTTCGTATTCTGAAAATATGTAGATCGTGTAGGAACAACCGGGATTGACTTCTCCTTGTGAGGTGACCATATCCGACTGCAAGATGCTGTTATTCTGAAATTCGAAATTTAATTCGTGTTGGGGTTTGTTTGATACCTTACGAGTAAAGAGTGGTCAAAAATGTGCATTTCTGCCAAACAGTTGTACTTAGAGTCGGGTTGCTGGATGATGCTGATGGACACTGTGTTGTTGTTGTTGTCGATTTCGTTCCATGATAGTTTCAAGTTGATGTAATTGTTGAAGGTGTCGAAATCGGGGGTGACGGTGAGGTTGGATAAAAGGCCACACTCCTGGGTTGTGGTTTCTGGAATAATTGGATTTAAATGCGAATGGTGAAATGAAGGGTTGCCTTCTGGGGTAGACTTGTCTCCGTACAATGAATAACTTGTGTAAATTGTTCACAAAATTCCAAAAATATATAGCTAACATTTAGTATATCAGATCTATTTTGGAAATCCGGTGTTTGAGATCGTTAATGTCGATTTCGCAATCACTAATCATTATGTTGTCTAAATTCCCTAAATACTCATTTTAATCTAGGACAGGATAACGTGATTACTTTTCACTGTTCCTTATCAAAATTTGTTGAGACGTTTAAGAATGTAAAAGATACACGAAAATAAGGAGATAAACGAATAAAAAGGGTATTAGAATAGACAAACGATAATTTTTTTAGTTGCTTACCTGTTGCATTCGAATTACCCACGACGCTAGCCTGCAAGATCGATAAAATAATAACATTAAAAGTGACATGTGTTACGCTTCATAACCCGTATAATCCGCAGCATATGGTTAAATATATTGTTATAACAAGCGAATATATTTTTAAAGATGTATCATTTCGAAGTGATACAGTGATAACAAGTCGCATCCTAATCAAGCCGGTATCAAAATCACACATACTCTTAATTGAACGAATGAAATATTACGCGGGTTCTAAAAACGAACTAATAATTACTTAATTGTTTAGTGGATCAAACGGAGATTTAGATAACGGATTTCTAATATGAAAAAAATCAAAACTGACGTAAATATCCGTCAAGGACTCGTACGTTATTCGCGAATTTGATAATGTGCGTTTTAAACCCAGAAACAGAGAAACGAAAATAAATTACCTGGTTTCGGACTAATCCTCCAACCACCACCACAACCAACACCGTCCTGAACTGTTCCATGTTACGACAAATCTTCTTTACTTCGCGTAACAGAAACAAAAATAAATCGGTCCACGATAAAAACAAAGTTGACTAAAATTCGTACTAATTCGACTAATTTATGGAAAATTGAGAAAATTACGGCGAACCGTCTGATATTCTCCAGATGGCTGGTTCTTTTTATCAGAGGAAACGCGCTAATCTTTAATCATTATATCATACTATCAACAACAGTAGCGGCTCGTGGTCTTTTCGTTACGTGAGGCAACAATTTCGTTTCAAAATCAGCAGGTATTAATTAACATGTTGGCAATTACTTTTGTTAAAAGACATATTGTTTATCGTTTTTATGAAAACAATACAAATAGGCCTGAGTCAGTAACCTATCTCTATATGGGTACACTTCTCGAACAAAAAACATTTAATTGCTTCACACAAACCAACGAGAAGGTTTAAAGACTGCAGAATTTGCTTTATTAGCATTAAATATTAATTCATATGATCTAGGGCTAATTTAAATATATTAATCAATCAATTAATAAAGTTCTGCTCAAATCTGGGTGAGAGGCTCTAAATCTTTGACATACAATTGTTCGTGGTAAGAAAACCGTGCTTAAATGTTTAAACTTTATAAGAAATTCTGGAGATTATAGATTCTTATGTTCCTTTCAGCATTGCAAAACTGACATTTTCATTGTCCTACTGTGTTCAAGTTAACTTAAAAGTTTTAATACATAACCTTGGCAATGCACATGCAGTGAACACCTTTCCTCGCGTCTAATTAATGCACAACTAAATGCATTCAGCATCCCTGTTCAGCATTGTGCAGTTTCACCGTGAGATTAAAAAATTCGATCTGATTGGCTTAAGGACGGGAGGCGTTGGTGCCTCCGCTGACGCTTTGATAAAGCACTGATGACTATTGTCTTACTCAAAAACATATTAGCACCACTGACTAATCATACTGAAGATATCCGTCTATATGAGGCATGCCTCCGTCTGAAGCTGGCCTACACGGCTATAATCAGCGCTTATTCCTGTCGAACGCGCGTACTTCAAAATATGTTACCAAGTCACGTTTTAATAAATCACAGTGTTCCATAAAAGTTATTTGCTGTATCTTTAAAATATATTTGAAGTTAACAGATATTAAAACAAAAACTAATAGTTAATTTTTCCAGGGGAGGCACTGCCTCCCCTGCCTCCCCTGACGAGCCGCCACTGATCAACAATTTTTTTTTGTCGTCCTTTTAGTCGTCCTTCGTTCTTTTTCGTCTTTTCTCGTCCTTTTTCGTCCTTCGTCCTTTTTCGTCCTCTTTCGTCCTTGTTGTCCTTTATCGTCCTTCGTCCTCTTTCGTCCTTTTTCGTCTTTTTTCGTCCATTTTCGTCCTTCGTCCTTTTTCGTCCTTTTCGTCCTTTTCCGTCGTTCGTCCTTTTTCGTCTTTTCGTCCTTTTGCGTCTTTTCGGTCCTTCATTGTTTCTCGTCTTTTTTCGTCCTTTTCGTCCTTTGTCGTCCTTTTAGTCGTCCTTCGTTCTTTTTCGTCCTTTCTCATCCTTTTTCGTCCTTCGTCCTTTTTCGTCTTTTTTCATCCTTTTTCGTCCTTTTCGTCCTTTTGCGTCTTTTCCGTCCTTCGTTATTTCCCGTCTTTTTTCGTCCTTTTCGTTCTTTATCGTCCTTTTAGTCGTCCTTCGTGCTTTTTCGTCCCTTCTCGTCCTTTTTCGTCCTTCGTCCTTGTTCATCCTCTTTCGTCCTTTTCGTCCTTTTTCATCCTCTTTCGTCCTTTTCGTCCTTTTTCGTCCTTGTCGTCCTTTTTCGTGTATTTCGTCCTTTCTCGTACTTTTCGTCCTACTTCGTCCTTTTTCGTGTATTTCGTCCTTTCTTGTACTTTTCGTCTTATTTAGTCCTTTTCGTTCTTTATCATCCTCTTTCGTCCTTGTTGTCCTTTATCATCCTTCGTCCTCTTTCGTCCTTATTCGTCATTTTTCGTCCTTTTTCGTCCGTCTTTTTCGCCCTTTTTCATCCTGTTCGTCCTTTTTCGTCCTTATTCGTCATTTCTCGTCCTTTTCGTCCTTTTGCGTCTTTTCCGTCCTTCGTTATTTCTCAACTTTTTTCGTCCTTCTCGTCCTTTTTCGTTATTTTTGTCGTCCTTCGTCCTTTTTTCTCCTTTCTCGTCCTTTTTCGTCATTCGTCCTTTTTCGTCGTTTTCGTCCTTTGTCTTCCTTTGTCTTTTTTCGCCCTTTTTAGTCTTTCGTCCTTTTTCGTCCCTTTTCGTCTTTCGTCCTTTTTCGTCCTTCATCCTTTTTCGTCATTTCTCATCCTTTTCGTCCTTTTCCTCCTTTTTCGTCCTTTTTCGTTCTTCGTTATTTCTCGTCCTTTTTCGTCCCCTCTCGTCCTTTTTCGTCCTTTATCGTTCATTTCGTTCTTTTTCGTCCTTTTCGTCCTTTCTCGTCCTTTTCGTCCTTCTCGTCATTTTTTCGTCTTCTGTCGTGTTTCGTTCTTTTTCGTCTTTTTCGTCCTTTTTCGTTCTTCATTATTTCTCGTCCTTTTTCGTCCTTCTTCGTCCTTTATCGTTCTTTTCGTCCTTTTTCGTCCTTTCTCGTCCTTTTCGTCCTTCTCGTCATTTTTTCGTCCTTTGTCGTGTTTCGTCCTTTTTCATCTTTTTCGTCTTTTTTTGTTCTTGTCGTCCTTTTCGTTCTTTTTCGTCCTTTTCGTTCTTTTTCGTCCTTTATCGTTCTTTTCGTCCTTTTTCGTCCTTTCTCGTCCTTTTCGCCCTTCTCGTCATTTTTTCGTCCTTTGTTCGTCTTTTTCGTCTTTTTTCGTCCTTTTCGTTTTTTATTGTCCTTTTTCGTCCTTGTCGTCCGTTATCGTCCTTCGTCTTCTTTCGTCTTTTTTCGTCTTTTTTTCGAACTTTGTCGTCCTTGGTCCTTTTTCATCCTTTTTCGTCCTTTGTCGTTCTTGTTCATCCTTCTTCGTCCTTTGTTCTGGTGATTTGAGGATTTTGGTGTTCTGAGGATTTGAGGATTATCATGTTCTGATGATTTGAAGATTATGGCGTTTTGAGGGTGTTTTGAGATTTGAAGATTATGGTGTTCTGAGGATTTGAGGATTCTGGTGTTCTGAGAGTTCGAGGATTATGATGTTTTGAGGATAATGGTGATTTGAGGATTTGAGGATTCTGGTGTTCTGAGGATATGAAGATTATGATTTTCTGAGGATTTGAGGATTATGGTGTTTTGAGGATTTGAAGGTTATGGTATTTTGAGGATTTAAGTATTATGATGTTCTGAGGATTTGAGGATTATGGTGTTCTGAGGATTTGAGGATTCTGGTGTTCTGAGGATTTGAGGATCATGATTTTCTGAGGATTTGAGGTTTATGGTGTTCTGAGGATTTGAGGATTTTGGTGTTCTAAGGATTTGAAGTTTCTGGTTGTCTGAGGAATCGAGAATTATGATGTTTTGAGGATTTGAAGATTCTGGTGTTCTGAAGATTTGAGGATTACGGTGTTCTGATGATTACGGTCTTCTGAGTATTTGAGGATTCTGCTGTTCTGAGTATTTAAAAATTCTATTGTTCTGAGAATTTGATGATTCTGGTGTTCTGAGGATTATTGAAGACTCTGGTTTTCTGAGGATTTGAGGATTATCATGTTTTGAGGATTTGAGTATTATGGTGTTTTGAGGATTTGAGGATTCTTTGTTCTGAAGTTTTGAGTATTATGTTCTGAAAATTTGAGAATTATGGTGTTATAGGATTTGAGAATTCTGGTGTTTCAAGGATTTGGGGATTCTGGTGTTCTGAGGATTTAAGGATTACGATGTTCTGAGGATTCGGGAATTACAATGTTCTAAAGATTAATGTGGGAATTTGATGACATGAAATATATTGTGGAAATCGGGGATTGGGTGTTTTGAGGATGCGAGGAACTTGAATTTTTGAGGATTATTTTCAGTATGTGACGATTGTTTTGAAATTGTAAACAAAATGTTAAAAAAATTTAAATCATAAATTTGTTTACAATTTGATTTTAAAAAATAATTGTTTATGGGCTGGTGTTTACTCCCTAGTTACATTCGTCCATGTCACGAGTTGTGACGACACTGTTGAGACACCGATTTGACAATTTTGTCGAATTTTAATTTATCAATAAAAAAAGTTCATTATTATTATTTTAATCTAATTTTTTCGATTTTTTTATACAGAGAATAATTGTATTTGTCAATTTATGATTTGTTTATTATAAGTTTAGTTAAAAATACAATTTGTCAAAACGTTTTTTCATAAATCAATTAACAGCTTTTCTATTCATCCGAGTTTAAAGTGAAAAAGATAAATAAAAAATTAACTACGCCGCTTTATTGTTTGAACGCAGCGCCATCTGTTCGAAAATAGATTACTAGTGTTTAGATAATATTGAATACTGTCTCTGATCCAGCTCAGATAAAAGTGATGAGCGTGTGTCAGACATTTAGTTAATTTCTTAACAACGCTAAATAAAACGAAATTTAGTATATATTTTTAATATTATATATTTAACTGTCCCAGTTTGGTTCATTTTGGGTAAAACCACACAAAAATCCCTCCTCAAAAAATACACATTTATTCAACAACTCTTTCACCCGTCCTCCAAACTAATATCTACAATTTGTACCGGCGTCTCAGCGAACCTCTCAATATCACTCGGCGGAAAAACGTACGTCGGATTCAACTGATCAAAATTCACATAAATCTTCCTCTTCTTCACATCCAGCGCCTCAACCAACTCCTGAAACGTAGGCCTGTGCCCAGGATCCGTCGCCCAACACAGCCTCATCAGCGCATACAACTCGTCCGTACAGATCTCGGGCCTCTCCAACCTGCGCCCCAACTGAAGAAACTGCTGAATAAACGAATCCGGAACACTCTCATACGGAAAAGCCCCCAAAGTCCCGATCTCCCACAACACCACCCCGAACGACCACACGTCAGTCTTACTGTCATACTTCTGCTCCACTATGGCCTCGATGGCCATCCAGCGCAACGGAAGCTTTTTAGTCCGGTGGTTCACGTACGTGCCGCTACGCGACAACCCGAAGTCGGATATCTTCAAGGTTTTGTACTCGTTGACCAGGATATTCCGAGCCGCGAGGTCGCGATGGGTCACGCCGATTTTCTCCAAGTGGGACATGCCTCGGGCGATTTGGAAGGCGAAGTTCTGGAGCTCGGTGTGGTCGAGGGCTTTGTCGAGGGTGTAAGGACCCGGGGAGGGGGTGAGTAAGTCCTCCAGAGTGGTACTCACGGCTGAAACGTTTCCATGAATTGGGAGAACCAGCGAATTGGGACTTACTTTCAGAGGTTGATGGTAGTCGGCTGGAGGTGACAGAAAGCGGCGTGGTGGGTGTGGGTGGCTCGATGTACGCACCATCGCTGCTACTAGTACGGTTTTAGTAGCGACCAAAAAGATTCGTGGTACTTACTCAGGGAAGAAAAATTGTGTCTTGGTTGCGATGTTCCTTTTTTTAGACCATTGGGTTCGTAAATCTACTAAATAGTTTTTCAAGTCGCCGCAAGGCACGAATTCCATGATCATCATGTATGGGGGGTCGGCGGTACAACAACCCAGGAAAGCCACGATGTTCGGGTGGTGACCAATTTTCTTAAAAATCTCGATTTCTGCTATAAAATCAGTGGCTGCCTCCTTCGTTATGTTTTCTAAAATATTTATTATAAATTGGTGATTTGGGATCAGGTAAGTCAGACGTACCTCCTTCGCCCAAAGTTTTGACAGCCACGATTCTATGACCTTCCACGCCCCCAATCCCGATGGCTTTGGCGGAGTAAACTTGCCCGAAAGCACCACTTCCGATGACCTCTTTGATAATGATCTTGTTTCTTGGAAATTCGTATTCGTCGAAAACCCCCTCCTGCAGACGTTTTTGTCAAAAATAACCAAACTGTGTGGTACTCTTACCAAGAACTCAACCGGAGTGTAGTGGATGTTAGTGTCCATGAGGATCTGCCGATTTCTAGGAAACACAATTACAAAAAAAACACTCTTTGAAAATACGTACTGTATGGTGACTAATTCTTGTAGGTGTTGGTTCCTTCTTCTCCTTCCCGGTGACACGAAATTTAGGAACTTACTTTTATATTTTGAGAAGCTTCTATACTGTAAGGCAGACAAAATCACCACCGCGATACCAACAACAACACAGACGATATAAACCGTGTAACTCCTGCTTTTGGGTACTGAAAGACAATTGTTAATTTTTTGACTTAGGTGTAAGGTGTCCCAAAATATTTTTCCAACCGTGATATACACTAACCAAACGAAACTCTCACCTTCAAAACCGTATCTAGCTTCCACCAAACAAGAAAAATTGTTCTTGAAAGTACCAATCAACTCATACCGGACTCCTTCAAGCACGTCCATCTTGATTTCAGAGGTGTGGTTCTTCAGATGATTCTTCGTCCACTTCACTAGCTCCTCATCCGACTTATTAGAAATCACGCTACAAAAAAACGTTCGATTTTGATAGTAGTACCATCACTATAATACGTACTATCTGTAATTGACCGCTTTGTAAAAATACGGGCTACCGTTAGTGGTACTTTGATTCCCACCCCACGTTACCAAAAACCCATCAACAACCTCTTCAACGTCAAAAATCTCCGGCTTAAACCCGAATTTATCACAGTCGCACTTATTGCCTACGCATTCAGGTACCGTATAATTATAATTACAACTAAATCTCTCTTCTTCGGAATGTTCTGAGTTCATGTGGATATCATAAGCGCAACCTGGGTTGACCTCCCGTTCTGTGTTACTATTAGGTTTCAAGATACGGTTGTCCTGAAACAACCACACTTAAATCCAGCCTAGCCCCACCCCCTTCTCACCTGCAGCGAATGATTCACAATCAAAGCTTCCTCGTAGCAGTCCTTCTTAGAATCAGGACCCACCTTCTGGTGGATTCGTATGGTAACTCTCTCATCTCTAGCGGTTTTATCCCACGACAACTGCAGATTGATAAAGTCGTACTTATAATTGAAAACCGACTCTACTAGGAAATTTTCAGGACACTCGTCGTCCTGTGGGGTTTCCTCCACACAAACTGGTTGTTCTTCGGGACACTGGGTTCGGATTTGTGATAACGTAGTACCTGTGGAACAACATACAAGTTTCAATTGGTACCACCTTCTGTGTTTACGTACCGTTGATGTAGTACAAGGGTGTACTCGATTCCGATAGTAAATCGTACTCGCAATCGCTGGAGAGGCTTTCATTAACACGTACGATGAATGAATCGTGAGCTTTGGTGAATTGATAACAGGAATCAGTTTGTGCTTTGGATTGTATTGTTGATATTGGTTCGAGGGCGGTGAGATCGAGGATTAGAGCGCTATCGTTTCGGCATCCACTGGCGGCTTTACATAAAGCTATAAATTAAAAAAGTTAGACTCCACAGGAAGTTATCCATAATATTGTTGGCAGTTTCTCTTCATTAATACGATGGCCACTTTGAAATGTAGTGATAGTAAATAGTGAGTAAATCCCGCCAGATGCGAAATTCGTTTTTATTATCATTTCGTAAGAAATTGGTATTAAACGAAGTCTAGTTTGTCGATGATAACGGAAATATTATCTGAAGTGAAGCTGTGTACACACATCACAGGAAATGATTTATATCCTCTTCTATTTTATAAATATTTGATTGCTGTTAACAAGGGTAATTGATGAGTTTATCTTTATACACTTACCTGTTGTTCTGACGTGATCGTTCGTCGTGTTATTCTGTAAAAATCGATAGATTAGACATGGGTATGACATGTGTAAGATGTTATTTTTTTTTTGTACGGAAAATATGTTCATTAATTGTGTCTCAAGTTGTTTCTATACAATTTAGATTTTTTGCGAAAATTAGATAAGCCATTTTGGATATATGTTATTGATTCTTTCATTATTTTTTTTAAACATCCTGTATAAACAAACTTTCCATATACAGGTTGAGTCAGCAACAGTACCTGTTTTACATGATAATTTCTTGTAGAGAAATAAGGACTTTAAGCTCACGATGCATAAAGAAAATCATCACAATTGAGACAGGGTGGGTGGGCGGGGCTTATATTTTGCCCTTTTTTCTTAATATTCGTAGTGTTCTTTTCGCAACAAGAAACTTAAAACATGTTTAAAACAGCAACTATGGATTTTGTAATTACGCTCAACCCCTCAGTCTGACAACGAATGGAAAATTCATCACGATTGAGATTCAGACGGATGGGTGGGGCTTATCTTTTTTTTACATAATACATATAGTTGTTTCTGAGCAACACGTCACTGAAGAATCAGTCTTATCTTAGCAGGTACTAGCCCCGCCCACCCACCCTCTCTTTTCTTAGAGGGTATGTCATTTGCCAAAATCGATCTTATTTTAGCGGGTACTAGCCCCGCCCACCCATCATCGTTTCTCTTAGAAGGTATCACATTAGTCAAAATCAGTTTTATCTTAGCAACTGTCTTTTTTTAAGAATGTGAAACATTCTCGGGGGTCCCAACTGTATTTTTTTTAATGTGAAACCTTCTGGTGGGTCCCAACTTTCTTTTTCAAAAATGTGTAACTTTCTCTGGGGTCCTGACTATTTTTTTTTTTAATGTAAGTCTTTCTCGGGGGCTCCAATCTAAAGATTTTAAAGATTTTAGACCTTCAAGTCATTTCTACAGGATGTTATATTTCAAAGAATTTTTTTTTCAGTAATTCCAAGTATTGCAAAAATTTTGAAGGTTCAAGAAAAATCAAAGTGATAGTAAATTTTAGAAATGATAAAGAAACCAAAAAATCCCGAGATTCCAGAAGGTCTAAACATTCCAAAGATTTCCAAAATTCCACAAATTCTTGGAATTTCGAGGTTTGTTGATTTTACTGTACTATACAAAGATCCTAGAGGTTTTCAAAATTCTAAAGATTCCAGAGACTCGGAGTTATTAGAAATTCCAGCGATTCCAGAGATTCTAAAGATTCCAAACCTTCTAAAAATTCTAAAGGATTCTAAGTTTTCTAAGGATTATAAATTGCAGAGAATATAAGGAATTCAAAAAGCTGGGGATTTCAGAAAATCTAAATATTCCAGAAATTTCCACAATTCCACATATCTTTGGAATCTCTGGATTTACTGAAAATCCAAAAAGGTCAGAGATTCTTGAAATTGGTTGTAAGATTTCAAAATTCTCGAGGTTTCAAATAATCTAAAGATCCAGGGATTCTGTAGAATCTAGAGTTTCAGAGTTTCCAGAGATTTCAAAAATTCTAGAGATTACAGATATTACAGCGATTCAAGATGTTCTAGTACTCCCAGAATTTCTAGAAGCTTTTGGATTTAGCTGTTCCAGCGATTCTAGAGATTCGAACGATGCTAGAGATTCGGAAAGGAGATTCTGAAGATTGTATAAATTCTGGAGATCTAAAGATTCTAAAAATTGTGAAGATGGCAAAGATTTCAAGGCTTCCAAAGAGTTTAAAGGATTCTAAGTATTTTAGTGATACTAAGGTTTCTAAAAATTGCTTTCATTATTTTCGTCCATATTGTTGGTTGTTTGGAACAAACAAACAAAAATTTCTAAAGATTCCAAACATTCCAAAAGTTCTAGAGATTACAATTATTATAGCGATTCAAGAGGTTCTAGTAATTCTAGAAATTCTCGAGAATTTAGACATTCTAGAAATTGTACAAGGTGTATTCCAGCGATTCTAGAGATTCAAAAGATGTTCGAGATTCTAAAGATTTTAAAAATTCTAAAAAAATTTCAAAGGTTCCAAGACTTCCAAAGATTCTAAAGGATTTTAAAGATTCTAAGGTTTGTAAAAATTCTGAACTGCTTTCATTATTTTCGTCCATATTGTTCGTTGTTTTGATGGGAGCAAACAAAAGTTTCTAAAGATTTTAAAGATTTTAGACCTTCAGTATCACAGAAGATTTAAAGTCATTTCTACAGGATGTTATATTTCAAAGAATTCTTTTTTCAGTTTTTCCAAATATTGCAAAAATTTTGAAGGTTCAAGAAAAATCAAAGTGTTAGTAAATTTCAGAAATGATAAAGAAACCAAAAAATCCCGAGATTCCAGAAGTTCCTTCTAAACATTCCAAAGTTTTCCAAAATTCCACAAATTCTTGGAATTTCGAGATTTGCTAATTTTACTGTACTATACAAAGATCCTAGAGGTTTATACAAAGATCCTAGAGGTTTTCAAAATTCTAAGACTAAGAGACTTGCAGTTATTAGAAATTCCAGCGATTCCAGAGATTCAAAAGATGCTAGAGATTCTAAAGATTTCAAACCTAAAAATTCTAAAGATTCTAAATTTTGCAAAGATTTCCAAAATTCCACATATTTTTGGAATCTCTGGATTTACTGAAAATCCAAAAATGTCAGGGATTCTCGAAATTGGTTTTAAATGTTCTAAAATTCCCGAGGTTTCAAATAATCTAAAGATTCCAGAGGTTCTGTAGAATCTAGAGTTTCAGAGTTTCCAGAGATTTCAAAAATTCTAAAGATTACGGTTATTGTAGCGATTTAAGATGTTCTAGTAATCCCAGATATTCTAGAGACATTCCGGAAGTTTTGGACTTAGCTGTTCCAGGGATTCTAGAGATTCAAACGATGCTGGAGATTCGGAAAGGAGATTCTAAAGATTCTAGAAATTCTGGAGATTCTAAAGATTCTAAAAATTGTGAAGATGCCAAAGATTTCAAGGCTTCCAAAGACTCAAAAGGATTCAAAGGTATTTAGTGATACTAAGGTTTCTAAAAATTCCAAAGTTTCTAAAAATTGCAAAATTTCCAAAAATTCGAAATTGCTTTCATTATTTTCGTCCATATTGTTGGTTGTTTGGATCAAAACAAACGAAACTTTCTAAAGATTTTAAAGATTCCAGACCTTTACAATAAAAAAAATAGTCATTTCTACAGGATGTTACCTTTCAAAGAATTTTTTTTCAGTAATTCCAAATATTCCAAAAATTTTAAAGGTTCCAGAAAAATTAAAGATTTCCCAAATTCTACAAATTCTTGGAATTTCAGATTTACTGAAATTGTAAAAATTTCAGCGGATCTTGCAACTGGTTGTAAAGTTTCCAAAGATCTCAGAAGTTTTTAAGATTCTAAAGATTCCAGAGACTCGAAGTTATTAGAGATTCTAGCGATTCTAGAGATTCAAAAGATGCTAAGGATTATAAATTTTACAGAATGCAAAGAATCCAAAAAAGCTCAGAATTTGAGAAATTCTAATTATTCCAAAGAGTTTCCAGCGATTTCAAAAATTCTAGAGATTACTGTTATAGTAGCGATTCAAGATGTTCTAGTAATCCTAGAAATTCTAGAGAATTTAGACATCCTGGAATTTTTTGGATTTAGCTGCTCCAGCGATTCTAGAGACTCAAACGATGCTAGAGATTCGGAAAGGAGATTCTAAAGATTCTGGAAATTCTGGAGATCATAAAGATTCTAAAAATTGTGAAGATGTCAAAGATTTCAAGGCCTCCAAAGACTCTAAAGGATTCTTAGGTTTTTAGTAATACTAAGGTTTCTAAAGGTTCTAAGGTATAGAAAAATTCGATATTCCTTTCAATATTTTCATCTAAGTATATTGTTGGTTGCTTGGATGAAACAAACAAAAATTCCTAATGATTTCAAAGATTCCAGACCTTCACAATCAAAGAAGACTTAAATTCTTTTCTACAGGATGTTACGTTTCAAAGGATTTTTTTTAATAATTCCAAATTTTCCGAAAATTTTAAAGTTTCCAGAAAAATCAAAGTATCAGTAAATTTTAGAAATGATAAAGAAACCAAAAAATTCTAACTATTCCAAAGATTTCCCAAATTCCACAAATTCTTGGAATTTCGGGATTTACTGAAATTTTAAAAATTTCAGCGATTCTTATAAAGTTTCCAAAGATCCCAAAGGTTTTCAAGATTCTAAAGATTCCACAGACTTAGAGTTATTACAAATTCATTCATTTAATGTCAGGGATTCTTGAAATTGGTTATAAAGATTCCAAAATTTCCGAGGTTTCAAATAATCCAAGGATTCCAAAGATTCTATAGAATCTAGAGTTTCAGAGTTTCCAGAAATTCCAAAAATTCTAGAGATTTCTGTTATTATAGTGATTCAAAAGGTTCTAGTAATTCTAGAGATTCTAGCGAATTTAGACACTCTAGAAGTTGCACAATTTTTTGATAGCTATTTCACCGGTTCTAGAGATTCGGAAGGGAGATTCTAAAGATTCTAGAAATTCTAGCGATTCTAAAAACTGTAAAAGGTCTAAAGACTTCCAAAAATTCTAAAGGATTTTAAAGATTTTAGTGACATTAAGGTTTCTAAAGACCCTAAGGTTTCTAAAATTTATAAATTGCTTTCATTATTTTCTCCCTATTTTGGTTGTTTGGATGGAAACTAACAAAAATTTCTAAAGATTTTAAAGGTTCAAGAAAACTCAAACGATCAGAAAATTTTAGAAATTATAAAGAATCCAAAAAATTACGGGATTCCAGAAATTTCAAAAGTTTCAGCGATTGTTGCAACTGGTTGTAAAGTTTCCAAAGATTCCTGAGGTTTTCAAGATTCTAAAGATTCCAGAGACTTACAGTTACTAGAAATTCCAGCGATTCTACAGATTCTGAAGGACGATTCTATAGATTTTAAAGATTCCAAGTTTCTAAAAATTATAAAGGATTTTAAAGTTTTTAGTGACACTAAAGTTTCTAAAGATTCTAAGGTTTCTAAAATTTATAAATTGCC